GTGCCACCAGTGGAAGAAGACAGAATGGTATCTTGCTTGTAACCACATCACATTATGCTCCCCTTGGGCTCTGGCCTCGCATTCAAGCCCACTCCCACTCGGCCACCACGACATCTTTTCCTTCTGCTAAGTCAACTTATAAGCTCAGTGTCTGTTTTCTGCGATTCCATCCAACTTTGAGCGCTTATAACTTTTGACAGAGTGTTGCGTTGCAAAAACTGAAAGCAGATTCGAAATCAGCCCAAAATTCTACGTCGGTTTATGTCATTTGGCCACGACACCCTGTTGACATTCCCTTGTTAGTTCTTGTTCTAGCTTTTGAGTGGATCCCGTTAAACTAAACATCATCTAATCTAAAATTTCCCCCATTCAAGCAGATCTCTGCGATAGGATTGACAAAATTTTAGAGATCAGAGTAAACAACAAAATCTCTTGTTGTGCTTTTTCTTGAAATCTTTTGAGGTTTTGAGGCGCAAATTTTCGTTCACCTAGGCAACAAAAAGACGATTAGATCTGCTGGGAAAAATAGGAATATTTAAACTTTTTTTAAACTAGCTTTAAACTCTAAAAGTTTAAGCAACAAAAAAGCTTTACTGAGTATCTTTTATTTTAAAAAGTTGACTCGTAGCCAGTAGTCAGTCAAGAAATTTCGATTAAAAATCAGCTTTTGAAAACGAGAAAATCTCGAGGAAATTCTACAAAAAAAAAGATTTTTCGAGCAAGAAAATTTGATGTCAAAATGTGCTATGTCAAGATTTTCCTTGTTACTCAAAATATTGAATATTTCTTTTATGTAAATTCTAATAGTCAAATCAAAAACTTTCCTTTTAAATCGAATTTAAAAACCTTAATTGATTGTGAGTTTGTTTTTTGAAGCTATTCGAATTTATGATTCTAGTTTTGCTAAAAAAATTTTCTAAACTCTAATTTTTCCTTGAAAATCTATTTATTTCAGTTGCTTCAATAGTTAAAAGCTAAAATAGTTAAAGAAAAGGACCAAAAATGATGAACAAGTCTAATAAACTAAGAAAGCACAAAAGTGAGATAGGAAATTGAATTTGTGAGAGAAGAAAGTTCCAACAAAATGAGAAAATGAGCTTTGGTACTTTTTTCTTACTCGAAAATCCTACTCTTTTTTTACTTTTTTTGAGAAAAGCACTCTCTCCAATAAATATAGAGAAAGATTGCCAGAGTTTGCATACAATTTTGTTCTTAAATTCATCTAATGGGGTCTACATCATCAAATATTCTTTAGAGTAAAAGAAAATTTTGAGTTGAGATTGTTGAGACGTTGAGATTGTTGAGACTAATGAGTTTTCACTTCGATCTTTGCAAAGATTGAGGATGAAAGGGATTTCGACGGGAACAAATTATTCAAACAAAAAAAAGGATGAACTTTGAAAAATAGATCAGAAATCAATTCCGAAGTTGGACAACAAGACGTCAATTCTAATTTAAATTGTTTAGTGAAACGTGAACGGTTATTTGTAGTTTAGTGTTAGTATTAGTATTAGTATTAGTATTAGTATTAGTATTCGTTTAGTATTAGTTTACTAAAAATCTTATTGTGACGTAATACTAATGGAAATTAATTGTACCCTAAAGTCTCGAGTATGAGTTCATCCGAGTATAAGTTCTGCCTTAATTTACACTTAAAGGGCTCTAAAGGAACTATAAAGGAACTATAAAGGAACTCAATAGGAACTCTAAAGCCAGGGAGGGATCCATAAGACTGAGCACCGGAGAGGAGCAGGGCGGACGCGCCGAGCCACGCCCGGAGCAACAAATAACAGCATAAAATTGCTATAACCCTCAATAAATTTACTTCTATTATTGTTCTTAAAAAGCAAAAAAGTTATGCTGCAGCGGGGTTCGAACCCTCGACACACCGCACCGGAGACAGCCGTCAACTTGCATGCGAAAACCAAACAGAACTTATACTCGCGACTTTAGGGTACTAATAGATGTACCGTAATCAATGAAAGGAATCAATGAAATGCTAAAAAGGAATGAATGGAATGTGGCTTTCTAAAATGGCTTTCTAAGTCAACTTTCTCTTCCTACCTTTCATCTTGTCTCTCATTTCTCCAATCTATTCACTTTTTATCTTTCGATCTCCTTTTTAAACCCACAGAATCAGACTAAAAGTAGATAAATTGAATAAAATTAGAGATTAGAGACAAGATAGAATAGTTTTTGAAAGTTTACGCTTTAGAAAACGCATCACAACTATTGATTAACAAGCGCAATTGCTACTGTGGTAACTTTAAAAAGTTTATTTATTTTTCTTTCTAAAAAACTAAGATTTTTTCAGTTAAAACCCCCGCCCCCCTTGTCAAATTTTTGTTTATCGGAGAAACAGTTCGGATTAAATCAAAGAATTTTCTACTTTGACGTCAAAGGGGATTACTCAAAAATCGGTTCTATGTAGTCGGTAAAAAACACAATACTTGAGCTGAATGATCCGAAGATTAAGCTTCGAAATCGTTCTTTTATCTACTTGATGTAGTCTTACTTAATGGATAGCTGTAGTGGATCGGAAGTTTTAAACATTGAGTCAAAAAAAAAGATTGGTGACTAGATGACATCACTATTTTTTAGTGTCCTCTTCTTTGCACTGAATGTTTACTAAAATAGGTGATTCTGAAAAGTGAAAGCATTAAATGAAATTTGCCTTAATCACTTAATCGTGCCTTAATCGTGAAATTGTGACCTAAACCTTATAGAGACAGAGCTACAGTATCCTCCAATTTTGTCTGACTTTTTGCTTAGTGCGCTTTTTGTACTTAATCGACTTTCTTGTAGAAAGTGTCGAAATATTCCTAGTTATAGAATCACCAAAAGTTCGTTGGTAAAGCTCATAGAAAAGTTCGTTTCTTACAGTATAAGAGTCAAAGGGAAACTATCAAATCAGATACAGAGATCAAACTTTGAAGAAAATTGATCAATCTTTCAAAATATTTCAAAGAACTGATCTGAAATAATCATAAAGCAGTAGTTGTTCGAAAATCTTACACATATCAATTCGCTAATTCTGTTTAAGTGGGAAAAATTAATCCTTGAATTATCAAGGTGAAAAATCCTCACTTATCTCGCGGATTCTTCACCGGAAATGCGCATTTGGACTCGGAGATGGTGAAATTTGTGAATCAAAGTCTAGAGCTTTTTTGAAAACCAAATAAAGTAAAATTAAAAACAAAATTTATCGCTACTATTACAGGTATTACGGTAGATATTCTGGTTAAGCCTCAGACATTCAAACCGATCATTAGATATCATTGAACACTGTATACAGGTCCACCTCTTATACCCGCTGAGCAAACAGCGTACAGCAAACAGAGTACAGCGCAAATTTCATAGATACAAATTTCTTGAGAGTGCATAAACTCGGCAAAATAGCGTACTTGCTTTTCTTTTTCCCTTTTTTGTTTTAAATTGCCTTTTTTCCGTTATCCGTCGAGAAACCCTCATTATGGGAATTGAGTTTTTGGGAGATCGGTTCTGAGAAAATTTCTACACAAACCTACAAATTTCTTTACTTTGCCTGTAGGAAAAGAAGAGGAAAATGGCAGCTGCTTTTGTCTATAATTAATCCCCCGACTCAAGATTTCGTTTTACAGAATTGCGATCATTGAGAGCCGAAATCAAGAATTCAATGTTCTTGACGGGGAAACTGATTTCAGAAGCAATTTTCTTTTTGCAAAAGTAATTTTTAACTTTTTCCTACCGTAGCGTTTTCTCGTACTGATTGGGTACACAAAAAGCACCTGGATAAGCAAGAACAAAACTGGAATAGGCAATGAATTGTAGAAGCGCATGATTTTGTCCACTTTCAGAACCAAATTCCAGTAGTTGATAAAGAATAAATAAAGCAGAGTTCTTTAAAACAAATTTTGATTTTTTAATTCGTTTTGCGTTGCAAACGATAAAACTATTGTTTTTAAACAATTAAATAAACAAACTCGGTGCGCCGTCGATCGGAGTGAAGTCGGAAAACCGTTCCGCGATGATAAAGCGGAATAGAACTATGAAAAGAGAGAAAAGATAAGGATTTTTCATAACTTTGAAAACGGGTGGAAACAAAAGAATGAAACCTTACTCCAAAACTGGGGGCTAGTCGAGTCCGCCTGCCAACACCATCAACTTGGCCAAGGAGGAAACAAGAAGAATCTTCGATTCATCATTCATCATATCCCTACTAGTGCGGTTCTTGATGTATTGCCTCACGGAGTCATCAAGAGTCCTTGGTTGGGCGGCTTAATCAGATGTAACAATAGTTGGTCTGGTTACCGCAATGAATCTGCTTTTCAAAGCACAAAAAACGGCCTTTCTTAAGGCGTCACTATGCTCGAAATTTTGGCATTTGCGAGAATGCAATATTTCTGACAAGAAACAAAAGTAGATCTAATCAGACCGCCTTTCATTGACTTTCTCATGTTTTCCATGAAAATTCGAATCTGAAAATACTTTTTCAGGTAAGATGTCGGACATTCTGTTGGACTACGATGAAGAAATTATCAAAACTGAATATGTAGAATATGAACGCGATTCTTCTAAACAAGGTTAGTGCACAAATTTGTATGGTGCTTGTCGATTAAAAGTTAGAGGACAGAAAGAAAAACGTGGATACAGTAACCGAAAGCTTGAAGAATTTGCTAAATCTGGTCGAACTCGTCGAACTGCTTTCCATGATAATATTGGAAAGAAAATGAGTGAAAATGATTACAAATTTGACTAGAAACGCAAAAGAGAATCAGACGAAATGCATCATACCGAAACAAAAAGAGCAAAAAGTGAAACGTTATCTAACGTTGAAATTTTGATCACAGGCTTTTGTCATTGTTAATACGAGTTACATACAAATTTATTTTTATTTGTTGTTGTTAATACGTGCTAATAAATTTAGCATACATCCCTCGACCTTAACAATTTATGTAAATGAATCAAAGTAACAACAACAAGGTAACAAGGCAACAAGGTAACAAAATTGCAAATCTCTAGGAAACGATTTTCTTTTGAATCAAATACTTGGCCGCGACGAATCCACCAACAAGGCCCGCTAGCAAAGTTAAAATTGTCCTAAAAGCAACAGCTCGCTAACTTATTGTTCGTATTACTAACCCAGACGTTGAAGCTTTCGTAGTCGAAGTACTTTCAGTATTTTCTCGATTGATTGCCGCGTCTTGCCAGATTTTTCGGAACTGTAGTTAATCAGTTAAAAAGATGCATGATTGGAAACCTTTTCAATGTTTTCGCAGCAAACGATTCCTCCGTGCAAATAGAAGCAGCGTCCCGAAGAAAGTTGATAGATCTAATTTCAAACAGATCAGAATCTTAGCCAATCAACTCACTGAATTTGTCTTTGAAGTGACCGCAATCTCGATGATAGCCTTGAATTTGCCTTCATTGTCAAATGTTTCCTCGCCGTCTGATACAATGAGGAATCTAATCCACAACAATTTTTAAAAATAAATATGAGCGAACTTGAGTGAAATCAGATCCAAATCTAAATCAGGTACGAATTCACGGGTCACAGCATAAGAGAAGGCCTAAAAGGGACAGTTGTTAAGAAAACATTATTCAGACAAACATTTCCGATAAGATCGCGATCCAGTCGATCCATCAAACAACCTTTAACCTAAAATTAAAGTCAGTAGATACAGCAAAACGGTATTACCAAGCCCCGCTCGACGCCAATCAGCCAACGCATTTTGAGACGAGAATTGAGTGCCGCACAAATGTTCTTCTGGATATCTAGAGTCTCCAAGGTCTCAAGCTTTTCAGGTACCCACTAAAGTCGTTTATCTTAAATAAATTTACAAAATAACGATCACTTGAACAAGCCAATCAGTTGGCTCTGATGGTGGTGGTTGCCCATAGTTCCATCTTGATTTAAGCGAGAATTGAGTGCCGCACAAATGTTCTTCTGGATATCTAGAGTCTCCAAGGTCTCAAGCTTTATAGTTTATTCATTGGAAATATTTCTTCCCCGGCTCCTTTTGTGAACTGAACCATAGATAGTTAAAAGCATATAGCAACAAAACAACCGACTTTTGCCACCAGCATCTTCATCTTATCTGCCACTGAGAAAACTCTGTGCGATCGGGATCCTGTGTCAATACGGTCTCCTGCCATTACCAAAAAGTTGGCTCCAAAGTTGCCTGTGTTTTTTGCGTACCTAAAAACAAACAAAGTCAAAAGAAAGTTATCTTTTTTTTTCCTACCAATGACAACGACTGTACTTCTTTTCCACAATTCGGCCAAAAGAATCACTAACCAAGTTTGGGTCCTCGACTTTCTAAAAAATGGCTTTACTATTTGTTATAAAAAGCCAAAAAAGCACCACTTCGCGTGAACGATTTTCAAAGGGTTCAAATGGTGGATTGACTTTGACTGGACGTGGCATTCGAGGAAATGCAAAGAGCTTCTAAAAAAGTTTATCGATCAATTTTTGAGCTATACCACCAACCTTTTGAGTAGAGCCTGTGGGATCTTCAGCCTTTTCTTATTCAAGCTTCAAACAGTTCGTTCAACTTTGATCCCTATATGAACGTACTTTCATGAAATTATATTAACAAAACCTCGACTTTGTCATCACTAAACGTTTTTGTCGCCGTCTCCATTCCAGAAGTTGAAATCTTAAGAAGAGTTCTTTAAACAAAAACTATCACGTTGCCACACGCGATTTCCGTAAAGCATGAGGAAAATATGATTAAATGGATTTACCTGCGAAGTCAAAGTTTCCAGTTCAACAATGCCAGTTGATGAGATTTCCTCTTCAAACCCATCCAACTCCAGGTTATCATCCAGAATCTTGTCACACAATGAAGCGCCATGTTCACCATCCGAGACGATCGAATCAAAGATTTCCCGTTCACCATCCGAGGCGCTCGAATCAGAGATTTCCTCTTTTTCTTCAAACATCGCCATCTAAAATGGAAAAAAGAGTAATAGTAACATCAAAAATGAGCAAAAGAAAAATTCGATACTAGAATAGATTTTTTGGCTAGACTTTAGAAAATTAAAAGAGCATAAAAAAGCTCGGGTTACTTGGGGGTTTCGTGGACTCAAAAACCAAAAAAATGAAAACTTTCAATGCGACACAAGATAAAAACTTCTAGTGATTTTATCCGTAAACAAATAAGGAATACAAATGGGCGGAAACTGATGTAACGGCTAACAAAATCGGGGTTGAACACATGCAGGGAAGAAACTGCGCAAATGAAAATTGAAAAGAGTGCAAAAGGGCGCACTTTACCTAACACCAAATGTGCGGTACGGTCTATTCTTCATTTAAAATTTGAATTTTTTCAAATTTCCCTTTCAAATTTGGACCTAACCGTCATTTTTGAAAATTTACATTGTCAGTTACTCAAATTTGAATTTAACCATCAAATAAAAGAAAGCGCAAAGTTGGGAAAAATCATCTTGATCTTCTCGCCCGATCAACTGCAATGGCTTCAACCAAGAGTGGGTTTTTTTGTTCTTTCTTTATTTTGTTTACTTTGATTTATTTTAATTCGAGTTGTTATGCTTTTAGTTAACATGTTTCTTAAGTTACTTTTCCTAAGGTCCCTAAGTTTTAAGTATTGAATATAGTCTATGAATCTAATCTTCCTATAAGTTTGCACTTCATTTAATCTTTCATCGTTCAGAGATGACTTCTGTCCGCTCTCGTGGTCGTGCTGCTCGCTCAAGGCCTTCTTCCGTGTCAAGTGCCGGCTCCATTCGTTCTCGTTCGGGTCGTTCGCGCACTCCAGCTGCCCCAAGAGCTTCGATCTTCAACTACCTTGCCGGCCCTCATCATCAAGCCCTTCGCGAAGCCTTGCGAGCTCGCCGTAGTGATGAGAAGAGACGTCAACGTCGCGTGAACAAGGTGTGTTTTCCTTTGCTTGTTCATTAACGTTGTTTGGTTCGCTATTTAAATTGTTTGTTAAGAAATCCCTTCCTTCTGATGCGGTCAACCAAGTGCCCTCAAGCCCTTCGGGATCTCAGGTACGCATTGCGCTCTTTTCATTTAATCTTGAAATTTAGGATTCTGGAAGTCTCTCGGATCTTTCTGCAACCTCTCCATCCTCTGCCGGTGGTCAAAGCTCTCGTTCGGCTTCAGTGGTGACGGCTACCCGTTCCAAAGTCAAGCGCGCATCTCGTTCTCGCTCTCGTTCGCGTTCAACTCGTGGTCGCTCCGCATCGGGCCGCTCCCGTTCCAACAAGAAGCGTGTAGCAAAGCGCGGACGCTCGGTGAGTTACTTAGTTTTCATTCGCATAACTTTTTTTGTTTAGACCTCGGGTCAACGAGCTGGTCGTGCCTTGAAGAGTGCTGGTTCCGGTCGTGGACGCTCCAGATCGGTACGTTGACGCTTTCAATTGAAGTATTTTTATTGGCCTCACTTTTTTTGTTTTAGGCCTCAACTCGCCGTGCCGCTCGTGTTGTGAAGAGTTCCCGTTCCCGTTCCCGCAAGGACGACAAAGCCAAGTCACCTAAATCCGCACCAAAGTCTGAGGTTTCACTTTTGTTTGTATCTTTGTTATGTTATCAAGCTCTTTAGAAGAAGCGTCGCTTGACCGCTGACAAGGAATGATGGATGTTTCACAGAATAGCCACCCTATGGGCCTTCTCCAGTCAATTCGTGCCAATAAATCTTTTTCCGGGAGCTCAATAAATATTTTGGGGTTTAACATTTGCTTATACAAACAATTTGAGTGCGTATAACATTTACTTATAAATTTTGTGCTGGTGACTTGAGTAATTCAAGAAACAATGTAAAGTATACAATGAAATGCATTTCTGAGCAATCATATTCTAATGTTGATCTCAAATTTGGTCTTTTGGCTTTCCGTAGAATTTCAGTGATCCACCTCACAGCTGAAAAAAAAGATTTCATTTGGAAAGTTTTGTCTGTTTATGAAAGCAAAGGGACTCACTGATATTCCATCAAACCGACGGTCAATTTCGAGTTCAACGGAATGACTTGGCCCTAAATTTTCATTTGTTCTCCAAGAAAAGATCTAAAAAGACAGTGCCACTCACTTCTGGAATCACACAACCGATCATTTGTGTTTCACCGTGGGATTTGCAAGTGAATTGGAAGTGCTTTCGTTGAATCCATTTCTCACCTGGAATTCATCGAATCTCAAAGTGTTTTCTGTCTTTCGCCTACCGAATTTGTGTTTTCCGCCCTCGGAATCCGTGCAATCATGGATCCTCAAACATGTGCAAATCTAAAAGGTATGCACTTATTTATAAGATATTCAGTTGGTAGACTGAAGATCCCTAGCACTCTGGCTTTGAGGTGTTAGCAAAAGCGCCAAATTTTTTGCTCCACTTATCATTTGCGCCAAATTTCCGCTTTTTAACGCACTTTCCTACCAACTCTGATTGACCATTTGTATTTTTTTTTACTACTTTTTCTTGTCGAAGATGCTCGCTATTTTTCCGCCTTCACGGGGTAGGCTAATTTCCGCCATTTTATTTGCGCAACAGGGTTATTTGCGCAACTAGGTCTTTTGTGCAACTCGCCATAACTTTCTTCTAAGTCGACCAATCTTTATGAGTTTGGTTTCATTTTGTTGCACGTATTGAGATCTACAAAATGAAACCAAAAACATAAAGATTGGTCCACTTAGAAAAAAGTTATGGCGAGTTGCGCAAACGACCTAGTTGCGCAAGTGACCCTGTTGCGCAACTAAAATGGCGGAAATTAGCTTACCCCGCCTTCACCGAATCTAAAAATGGCATACCGTAAATACTGTAATAGTACCCCACCCCCCTCGTACAGTCGCGTAGTCGCAAAAGTTTTTTAGTATTTCATTTTTTGCAAAGCACCCGTATTTTCAAAAAATGCATTTTTGGTATAAAAAATAGCTGAAATTCAGGGCTTTTTTGATATCTAAACGCGCATTGTAGCATAAACCAGTGTCGAGAAAAACTCGTTCAAAGCTAGACTACGCAACACTCCGCACCGTCATTATGCGGGTGGGGTACTATTACAGTATTTACGGTAAGATCGATATAGAGAGTAAAAAGTCCAATCAGTGACACAAAAATTACTGTTTTTGAGGGCTGTATAAGTATTTAAACGTGCTTTTTAATTGAAAACAATGTGAGTTAAAAATGCGAAGCATAAAACTGAAAAAAAAGTTGGTTAGAAGTTGGGAAAAAGTGATTTGTTACAGTGTTTCATAAGCGTAAATTTGGCGCAAAAAAACGGGGTGCTTTTTCTAGCACCTACTGGCTTTAAAACGCCAGTGAGATTAACGTTTGCAAGCCTTTTTTGCGCAGCCCTGAAATGAACGGCTTTGGGCCTTTTTACGCGACGCTGAAATGAACGGCGCTGGTTCGTTCGATCCCTGAATTTGTCAATCGTCGATTTAAATTTCCTTTCTTCCCAAATTTGCGTTAAATGATGTGCTATTGTTTGTTTTTTAGGCTCCTTTATATCGTGAAAACACCCAGTCATAATTCGTCAACTCTTGCTTCACTAACGCCCCTCCTCTGCCGCCTATTTGTTGCCCTTATTACAGGACTTTTGCTCGGCGCGGACCCTTCTCGAATCGTTGAGAGAAATCCAAGCGCGCATTTTTACGCACTGTAAAATTCTTTTGAAAGGAATTTAATGATTTATCGTTTTCGAGCACTTTTCTTTAATTATGAAATTCGCCTAAATTTCTCTTTTTCAGGTTCATCAATCGATAGCTTTGAAATTCGCGAATCGATCGACTCGCTCAATTGGTGCAAAATAATTGTCGAGAATGGGACGGAAAAAGAAGAAGGTTGAGAAGCCCTGGTGCTGGTACTGCAATCGGGAATTCGAGGACGACAAAATCCTCACTCAACATCAAAAGGCCAAGCACTTCAAATGTCACATTTGCCACAAGAAACTCTTCTCCGGACCGGGACTCTCTATACATTGTATGCAAGTTCACAAGGAAACTGTCACCAAAGTGCCCTATGCGATCCCGGGCAGGGATTCGACGGAAGTCACAATCTATGGAATGGAGGGAATGCCCGAGGGGGCCACTCGAGGACGAACGGCAGAAGATGAAGAACCAGCCGCTAAACAATCTCGTTTTGGTGCCTACCCCACTCCACCGATGCCACCGACAATTGGATCTCAATTCGGAGCGCATTATCAATATCCATCCATGCCTCCAATGCCACCTGGGTATGGTGGCTATTCACAAATGCCCTATTCGGCTCCACCAATGCCGTATCGAGGACAATATCAACAAGGCGGTGGTGGAGGAGCACATGCGTTTGGCGCCTTCGGTGGAGGAGGTCCAACAGGACCTTCTCGCGCAGACAACAGTTACGGAGTCGAAAGCAGTTCCTACAAGCCACCCGAACCAAAGCCTGTAGAAAATGAGTACGGATATTCGCATGGGGACACGAACATAGGATCCTATGGAAAAGAAGAGCCACGAGAAAGTTTTGATTCGCCTCAAGACGACTTTCGGTCGGCTCCTGTGCCATATCCGGCAAATTCGTCAAAGTTGAGTGCCAAAACACGAATCATGCATCCGGATGATCATTCGATTTCTTTGGAGGAGCGACGAGTGATGATCGTTATGAATGCGGCTCCATCATCGTATCGCTGAGCGACGGGTTGATCTCTCCTTTATACTTCTCCATTCCCGATGGGCTTTTTCTTTTGATGGTTTTTCTTAATCATTTTTTTGTGTGATTATGATTTCCTCCAGCCTGGAATCTATTTATTTGAAGTATTCGTTGTTGTTCATTATGTTAAACACCCTGTTTATGTATTTATGATTGGTGGATGGATTTTTCTTGTCCGTGTTATTGTTTTCTCCTTCAACAAATAAATTTTTTGTTTTTAGACTTGAAGGCAAGATGTTCTTCAACATGGGTGGAATGGGAGGTGGTAGTCGCGGAAGAGATGGTCCCGTTGACACGAAGCTTTATGACGTGCTAGGAGTGAAGCCTTCGGCTACCGAGGATGAGATCAAAAAGGTGATTTCTTTATCATCAAAAATTAAGATTACCTAACCTCCTGATATGTAGGGAAATGACTAAAACATAAAATGACTACGCTTTAAACAAGGGATATTTTAGGCTTACCGAAAGCTGGCCAAAGAATACCACCCTGACAAGAATCCCGACCACGGAGACAAAGTTTGAATTTCTATCATTGCATCGTATAATGCGATTACTTTAGTTCAAAGAAATATCATTTGCTCATGAAATTCTGTCCAATGCTGAACGAAGGAAAACTTACGATCAAGTGGGACTTGACGGAATCAAAGAAGGTAGCTTAATTTGCTTATGCACGAGATTTCTAAAGTTGTGATGGGCCAACAGCAGCTCAATTGTTCCTATTTAGGTGGTGGCGGCGGCGGTTTTGGCGGTGATCTATTTTCGCATCTCTTCGGCGATGACGGTGCTGGTGGTCATCCATTTTCGTTTTTTGGAATGGGCGGTGGAGGCGGCAGCAGGCGACGACGACAAGCAAAAGTACATAATTGATTCGTTTTCTTAGTTAAACAATTTTATTTTAGCCTACAGTTCATCACCTTGGCGTCACATTAGAGAACATCTACAAAGGAAAAACGGCAAAGTTGCAGCTCAGCAAAAGTGTGCTCTGTGATACTTGCCGGGGGTTAGTTTGTTTCGTATTTCAAATCTAAATCTTTTTAGGTCTGGTGGCAGGCCTGGCGCTTCTTATGATTGCCGTGGGTGTCAAGGACGAGGTGTGAAGTATCAAATGAGACAAGTAGGCTTTCGTTGTTAATTTTTATCAATATTGATTTAGGTTGGGCCAGGTATGATTCAACAAATGCAAGTGGCTTGTCCGGATTGTCGTGGAGATGGTTGGTTTATAATCCTCTTTGAGACAAAGCTTTGTATTTAGGCTCTCAAGTTCCTCCATCAGAAAAATGCAAGAGTTGCCAAGGAGAGAAGTTAAAGAAGGTCCAAAAGATGATTGAAGTAACGCAGATTTTTATTATGCAATTAATTGACTTGTGATTAGGTTCATGTTGATCCAGGAATGCGACATGGAGAACAAGTTACTTTCCACGGAGAGGGTGATCAAGTTGATGTAAGTTAATTTTAATGAAGTGTTTTTGCTTTACTGTTAAGCATGAATGTTTTAGCCTGAAATCGAGGCTGGTGATGTAATTGTGGTGATCAACGTCAAAGAGCACGCTGTTTTCAAGCGCAATGGCGATAATCTTCACATGGTCAAGTATGTTAATAAATTAGCAATCACTAAATAAATAAAAACATTTAGGGAAATTTCTTTGAATGAAGCTTTATGTGGATTTGAAATCCCAATCACACATCTTGATGGACGAAAAGTTGTACTCAAGTCGGCACCTGGGGATATTGTCCGACCAGGTAAAGTTTGAGCTTGGGGCATGTTTCACTTAACAAGTTTAGATGATATTCGTGGGGTGATTGGCGAGGGGATGCCAAAACGACGTCATCATGAACTTCGTGGGACACTATTCGTGAAATTTGATGTCAAGGTAACAAGCAGTGATGCTTGACCATTTCAAAGCACTTTTTTTAGTTCCCCGTTTCGCATTTCTTGGATGATGAAAAGAAGTACAAGTTGTTGGCTAGTTGCTTCCCGTCAGCCAAACAAATCGCTCCACCAACTGGCGAACATGAAGAGGTTTCACTCTTCGAGTACGACGAGAAGAAATATGGTGGTCGACGTGGGGAGGCTTATGAGGATGAAAGTGATTCGGTGAGTATTATTCTTTAAGCAAAGAGGAAAGTTTGTAATGCAGTTAGTCGGGTCAGGGGGGTGTTTTTGTGAGATATTGTCGGGCTAGTTCCAAATCGGAACTAATCTGAGCTTTCGATTAATACCTAATTATTAATATTATTAGGCTTTATCTTATATTCAAATTGTGCGCTTTTAGGACGAAGGACACGGCTCACATGGATCACACGTGCAGTGCGCTCAATCATAATTTTCAACGAAAAAACTTTGAAGACAATATTTTTTATTACCTAGGTTGTTTGCTGCCCAGTGTTCTTCAATTCTAGTTTTACTTCTTCCTGATGCTTAGACGGGTGTTACCAAGCTAGAAAATTTCTGATAGGTATTCTTTTTGCCCGTTTATCGATATTATTCGGCTCTTGAGCTTCACTCATGTGCGCAACCGATTTCAAGTACCGTAAATGCTGTAATAGAGCGATCCCCTTCCCCGGTCCCGTTTGTTTAAGAGTAGACTTAGACTACGCAACGCTTCTACAGGGGGTCGTTCTAATAGAGTCTTTTTTACGGTAAGTCTTTTTGTAAGTCATCTAAATGTCACTGTGATCGCCACTGTTATTCAATCTTGAACCATGTGTTTATTTGATGTACTATTAAGTGTTATCGGAGAAAAACTCCTGATCACAGCATTATTTTTGTTGTCGTTCTTTTTTCTTGTCGGTAAACCCTTTTCACACTACAAAGCTTTTATAGATCTCCAACTGACGCTTTTGGTGAGCGTTTTACCTACAAAACTAGTAGTCCCATCGGAAACTAGTAGGTCAATCTGAAATAGGAAAATTCTGTTGTGTTCTTCCTTGAAACAGCTCCTTTTTGCCTTGTTCATTGTTGATTGCTCTGTGAATTTTCTTGGATTGTCTTACAAGTCTACTCAAAATTTGTCGATCATCTTTCCAATCACATGTTGAAATAAATGTTTGTTTAAGACCTTTCCTTCACCCAGTGGTGCCTCAAATCTTTTTAGGGCTGTCAACTTAAAACCCGAGTCAACGACATTCGAGGCCATTCATTCAGTCGGGAGATACAAGAAGTTTTTAAAGCAAGCTTTATTCGAGGGCAAACGAATTTGCACAACACAACGAAAAGCGGAAATCATCAATTAAAACATCTGGAGAAAAATTTGTAGTTTCGTCATTGTCGTGTCGTACTGTCCACACAGCATTTAATTCCTTTTGGTGTTCTCACTCGTTTTCTTGACCTCCTCAGTAACAGTAACCTCATCGTTTTGTGTATACTCGTCGTTGCTGATCGACATCTTAATGAAATAAATGGAAAGTGATTCTTAAGAATACCAAATACACAAATAGAATAAACTCACTGATTTGGATCTCGAAAGGCTGGCCTCCCTTTGGATCACTGGCTTTTCAGGTTTTCCGATGAGTCGGTACTGTCGCTCTACCCTCATCAAGGTATCTTTGATGCTCGGGCGGGCTTCAGCCTTTGTTTGCCTAAGAAATTTAAATTTAAAATTAAATTTAAATTAAGAAAACAACAACCGAACTCACCAAATATCCTCCTTAACGAGCTTCTTGATGTCTTGGGGCATATTCTCTGGCAACGGACACATTTCACAGCGCCTAAAAAAGACACTTTTTACCAGGTTAAATATGAAAAACGGTACCTAATCTTTGTCGCAATTTTCCTCGGCTGATCCTCAGGCCATGGCTTCACTCCGTTGTTGAATACTTCGTAGATCAGCTGAAATTAATTTGATTTATGTTTTTAAAAATCAAGTACTAACCATTCCAAACGCCCAGACATCCGACTTCTTCGAGTAAATGGCCGGCTTCTTCAGCGTTTCGGGTGCCATGTGACTAAACAAAAACCTTTATGCACTTAAAAAAGCCAAAACAAACCGAACTGGAAGCTGATGATTGCCCGGCTCGTCGATGTCGATTGATTCCTTTTTCTCACAAAGAAGGGAAAGGCCAAAGTCCGAGATCTTGATGTATCCGTTGGCGGCGATGAGGCAATTCCGAGCCGCGATATCCCGATGCAACAAGTTCTTCTCGTCGTGCAGATAGACCATTCCCCTTGCTGCCTATAAAATATGATTTGCAACAAACAACCAAATCACTTACATCCCGAATGTAGACGATTCGCTCAGCCACAGAGATGTTATCCTTCTCCCTCTGTAGATGCGTCATTAGATCTCGTCCCGGGCACAACTCCATCACGACTTGAATTGGCGGGTAATCAGCGGCCACTCCAAAGAACTAAAACTCATAAACATTCAAGTTAAAACTATAATGCTCACAAACCCTGACGACATTCTCGTGCACGTAGTAGACTTGCGTCTCCGCTTCTTTCAACATCGATTCACGCTCTTTCTTGAGTTGTTCCACGGTATACGCTTCTCTTGTAATGCTCTCCTAAATGAAATACATTTAAACAATTGTAGAATCTAAAGATTCACTTTAATAGCGACAATTTTTTCCATTTTATCATCAATTTTGTAGATTCCCTTGTAGACATTGGCAAAATTTCCTGTTCCAAGAAGATCCTAAAATGGTCCTCTGGAGATTTATTTCTAAACGATAACCCAAACCTTGGTTCGATCAAAAGAAAGTTGATCGTGTTTAATCATCCATTGGGGTCGGTCAACGGGGGTTCCAAGTTGTAATTCCGTCTTGTCGTTCTAAAACAAAATAAAAGCTAGTGCATAAAGTGCAAAGTTACTTTATAGAATTCAATCAGCTCGACGACACTAGCGAAGTCCTTGCATTTCTTTTTCTTGTTCTTTCTGAGGGCATTGAGACTCCATCGTTTGTTTGCACTTCTAAAAGATTTAGATGTAAATAGGCGAACCAGAAAAAAGAAAAACTAAACGTACTCAAGTGTGAGGTGTCTGATTCCTTTCACCGGATCGTGGTAGCTAAGCACAAGCATGAGTGTCCCATCCTTATCGGTCATCCTCACCAACCAGCTTCCGCTTTGTTTGAGCAAGGTGCTAAAAATTTCAAATAAACAAAGGCTTAACAAATAAAATTCCAAAAACTTACGTGACTTCCTTGCGCGGTCTCATTCCATGATAGTAAATTTGTCTTTCGAGTTCATCGTCGTTGACTTTCTTCACGTCCTTGCTGTCCTTCGGCTCCTTGACTTCTTTCGTCTTCTCTTTATCGCGGTCCTTTCCGTTTGGCATCTAAACAACAATGTTTAGCATCATAAAAGTACGTGTAACTTTCCTAAGAACAAATCAGTTAAGAGGAGATTGTCAATTAACGGAGTGTTATAAAATGGACTAGGCTGTTTTGCAAGCCCAGCTAACGCAAAAAAAAAAGAATAAATTAATACAAGTAAAGGTAAAATTTAAAACTAACGAAAAGATTAAAAAGCCCACCTTCTTGCCGCGATCGAGGAAAGAGAAATGACTTTTACGGCTGGGTGATTTAGTTTTATATGTCGATTAAATGCAAATTCGATAGGTAAGTTTTTGCCTCGGCTCAACAAGAAGCCACTGTTTAATTTGGGCCAAAATTTGATCATTTACTCGGTCGATTCAGCATAGATCTGTTCATCTTTTATATAACCCGGCAATTTTTCTGTTTTAGATCGACAAGAATCGACATTTTTCTGTTTTAGATCGACAAGAAGCCACCGTTTAATTTGGGCCAAAATTTGATCATTTGCTCGTTCGATTCAGCATAGGTCTGTTCATTTTTTTATATCATCCGGCAATTTTTCTGTTTTAGATTTAAATGCAGTTATCCTTGTGTTCTTTCTGTGGTACGAAAACTAGCCGTCATGCTTCAAGCCTTGTTTTTTTATGGTTTGATCTTGAATCATCGCTAGCAACTTGCTCTCGATGAAAGGACCTGGTTTGTTTCATTTTATTGGTTGAATTAAATAGTTAAGTACCTGTTTTCCCGCTTTTATTAGGATTCAAATAATTTTAAAGATAGAACGATTGACTTGTGGCGAAACTTATTACAGAGGTTGTATTTTTGATTGGATAGATTAATTGTAACTTTAGGATGTGTAGAAGAAATGCCTGTAGTGGCCAGTGTTCGCCTTATCTTTTCTCTCGACCGACTACTTTTATCCAAGTAACGATTATGAGCTTTCTTTTACTTTCATAACAAGCTTTTAGATGCGAGTTGTGGCAAATCTGTAGGAAAATGGAAAGCTTTGAGTCTATATGACCAGCTTGGCACCAGTTAGTTTCTAAGTTGCTATTTGTAATGTTTTACGTTTAGCTATGCACTTTCGGGTTTGAATCGATTACGTTAGTTATGATTCTCAATGGTCGACCACTGAATTCCTGTCCAGGTAAAGCTTAAGTTTGTCTAGTGCATAAAGTATGTAATGTTTTGGATCTACTTTCAAGAGTGTTTATAGGGGCTATGCGGGTTGGGTGATGGCAGTGTGCGGGACCTCAGAAATAGTTTTTCTAGGGTTTTCGGCCACGCTAAATCGATTGGTAATATTTTTTAGAGCTTTTTCTTGCTACACTAAGCTACACCAAGGCTATGGCTCAGAGTACTGGCTGAGCATAGGTTGTTGTTAACGCTGTTAATGGTCTAGACATGTTACGTACCTCCGTCTTTGCCGCTCCCGCGTTCTTTGCGTGTTATTTATCTAGGCTAGGGCTCCGCACATATATAGCGTACTGACCGAGCACAGTCTAGTATGCTTAATCACGTTCGAGTATTGGCCGGGCATAGGTTAAGACTGGCTGCCTATTACCGGATATAAGCTAGATCTGCCTCGACCACAAAGAAATAACTCACAAACACGTTCTAAAAAATTACCAATCGATTCAGTGTGACCGAAAACCCTGGAAAAGGCACTTGCCAGAGGCATTTTGAAGGCTCCACCCACTGCACACCCCCAACCCATATAACCTCCGTTTACATTTAGATCTCTTGAAGCTGCTGATCCTAACGTTGGCCACATGGATGATGCTGTGTTTCTCCGTGTATTCCGGGCGAGCTCTTCGCCAAACGATATCCTTTGAGCATACAAAACGTGAACTCGAACAGACAACTTGTTAAACTTTTTTTGGGCAAGTTGTTGTGTCAATATTTTTCTTGAAACGCTTCATCTTCTTGGCTCAATAAATTTTCTTGCTTTTCTATGAAAATCGATGCACAACGAAGTTCTTCAACTGAAATTGATTCAGTTTCGGTAATTATGGGTTCTTTATCTCTTTCGACCCGTCTTTCGTGGATCGGCCACCGTAGTTGAAAAGAAAAAAGCTTGAAAATTGTTGCTCTAGATGACGAATTCGTTTCGCGTATGCACCTGTATTCAAAAACGTCTCTTTCGCAAGAAAAAGAGCACGCGCGTTTGTCCCGTGTTTACACCCGCCTGTTAAAAAATCTTCGTATTGAATATTTTAATTGGAAGCTTGCAGCTTTATAGCTTTTTGCCACTTTTTCATATGTTGATCATGCAAAGAATCGCTAACTTGCGTAAGAAAATTTTTAGAATGGAATGCATACGTTGATTTCTTCAAGTGACGAATTGATTAACAGAAACAGTGAACCGATCAACGTTTCTATACCGCAGACAACCAACGGTAGGCAAAACATAATACATGAAAAAATATTCGATCAATCAATTGCAAATTTGCACCAATAAAATGACACTATTTAAATAGCGCTGGGCAGCTGCCAATTTTTTGTCATTCCTTTGCCCAAGACAATTTCATTTCAATCACTTGGTTTATTTTTTGGAGATCTTTTGTTTTGTTGTAACTTGTCAACATGTTCTATTCCAGAGTTGCCCGCGCCATCTCCTCGACCGCCTCCACGCTGCATCTCACTCGAGCCGAAGACCGACTCGACCGCACCATTACCTGTTGTGATCAGAGAAGTGCCTAGTGAAGTCAGTTTATTATTTTATCAGAAAGTTTCCGAAAGGCCATTGAGCAGGGTTAGCACTTAGGTTAGCACTAGGTTTAAAGTTTCTTTTTTCTAACTTAGGTACCTATAAAGCGCGTTAAACATTGGCTCTAGAAGTATTTTACTTTTACTTATATACTCTGAATCCGATTCAACCGTTATTTTATTAGCTTTTAGTTGGCTTTACAGTCCTGTTGTAGCTGCTGTGACCTTCCGATGTTCTTGTCTTGGGTTAAACAAAAACGTTTCTGGGCTTTCCTTTGACTTGCTATTTTAGATTTGCTTGATTATAAAGATTTATGGCTGAATGCCAGAGATTTAATTTTTAATGAAGACGATCAATTTTTTCATTTTTAGCTTCGGACTTGGAAAATCACTCGCGAAGGACTTGTTGAAGTCAATTCTGGAACAATGGGTATGATTCGATCAGCTCTGTTGTAACTATATTATGATTTTAGGAGCTTTTTTGGATAAACCAAAAACAAACAAAAGCAATATAACTGGAGAAGGAAAGGTTGGTTTTGAATCTTATAGGTAAACTTTTGGGACAAAGAAGCTGTTGAAAATACCAACATTGCAACACCTCAATCAATCAACTAACATTTATATTTATATTAGGACATCCGCTATGCGATCGCCAGCATGCAAGGATGGAGGATTGACATGGAAGATGCTCATGTTGTCGAAGTATGATTTATTCATCTTTTTAAAGCTCTAGAAAATCTTGTTTATGAACAGAACGTACTTATAACATGTACTTTAGATTTCGATGGCTGACAAAGAACCATTCAAGGATTGGGCGTTTTTTGCCGTGTTTGATGGTCACGCAGGAAATGTTGCAGCTGAACAATCGGCTGAGCACATTTTGAAGACACTTCTCGAAACCAAAGAGTTCGATGACGTAAAAAAATCGTTTGTTTGACTTATTTGTTTTCTTTTAGGTTAGACAAATCCTTTGCGAGAACGGAAGCAAGCTGAATGAGCGATCGATTGAGCTTTTGGAAAGTGGAATGAAGACTGGATTCATGGCCCTCGATAACATCATTCGATCGAGGGTTTGTTTATTCTTAGGGGACTAAAAGTTAAGGCTAATTTGTAACACTAACACTTTATATGCCTTTGCCTTTTTAACTGATATATTGAGATGGTTTACTAAATAGAAGCAATACGCAATGCTCTTTAAAATCTTTTTGCTTCCATACTTCATACTAGAAGTTTCCAAGAACTACAGTTTTCCCTTGTCATCATTTTCCGGCCCGCAAAACTTTCAATCAATACTTATCTGACCAATTGCCGGCCTTTATCACTCGCTTACGCACATTTGGTGTTTCCATGCTCTGATAGCGGGGTGTGACTTTTCGAGTCTTTTCACGGATGGATCATCAATCATTGAAGTAGGATTTGAACATGCGAACGTTGGAAAATATCCAAGAAAATTTTGAACATTTAACATTAGAAGTGAGTGGAATGAGGGGAAAGTGTGTAGTTCTTCTAAAATTTTACCTAAAAGCCACACATAAATGAATATTGCTCGGACACAAATATCAGGATTCTTGTGATTTAAATTTCTTTTTTAGTTAGCCGCAAAAGAAACTGATAGATCGGGAACGACAGCTGTTTGTGCCATTCTTACCCCTACCCACATCATTATTGCAAATCTTGGTAAGCAGCTCAAAGGTTTCAAAGGAAAGTCACTTGCTTTAGGTGACTCGCGTGCTGTGGTTTCTCGGGCTGGAGAGTCATCAATCGGTACTGAAGATCATAAGCCATACTTAGAGAAAGAGCGAGAAAGGATTGTTGGCGCTGGAGGATCAGTATGTTAATACGAACAATCATTTAATCTTTAACATCTTAGGTGATGATTCAACGCATCAATGGAAGCTTAGCTGTCTCTAGGGCTCTTGGAGATTTTGATTACAAGGCGAGTTTTGAACCTTGAACAGCCATCGATTTGAATACGGTCTTTGATTTGAAGTTACCTGTAATGACTTCCGAACGCTAAAATTCTTAGGGTCATTACCAAAGCCACCTATTCTTTTAGGCCGTTCCCGGTCTTTGCCCAACGAAGCAACTCGTCAGCTGTGAGCCAGATATTTATGTGATTCCGAGAAAGCAGGTATTTATTTATGTACTTGCTCTATTATTCCAATTTTTAAGGATTTGGATCAATTCATGGTATTGGCATGTGATGGAATTTATGATGTGATGGAGAACGATGAACTTTGCTCGTTTGTTGAGGACCGCCTCCAAGTTTCCCCGAAGCTTGAAGATGTTTGCAATCAGGTAAAAACAATATTGTTATTACATTATATTAGACACATAGCACTCTATGATAAGACGCTTGAATTTTCCTGTTTATTAGTCTTTCAATTTTAGGTGCTTGATGCTTGTCTGCACCGTGGTTCCCGTGACAACATGACTATCATCTTGGTAATTGAAGTTTCGCATTAAATGTTAAACGTTGTGTTTAGATTTGCTTTCAAAACGCGCCCAAATTGGACGAGGAGAAGAGAGAAAAAGAAGAAACATGGGCCGTCGACATGCGGCAAAAAATTCAAGGTTAGTGATTTGATTCTGATGAATGGTTAGGATGTTTATTTTCAGAGGTTCTTGATGAAGAGCTGGCTTCACCTCATTGGAACAAAGAAGAAGTAGTCTCCATCTCTTGGGTTTGAACATAACCTTTGCTGTGAAAATTTCTCTTAGGTTCTCCGTCGCCTTTCAGCCAAGGTGGAAACAGATACTGGACCTGCTCCTCACCGTCTGCGCACCATTATTGATCAGGTGTGTTTTGGGGAATTCAGTTGAAATCGGTGAAGTAAACTTTTAAATCGATTGTCTTTTAATATAGGCAAGAAATATCTCTAGTTAACGTAAATTTCAGTCAATTGAGATTCGAGTTTATCTTCCAAAAATTGCCTGACTCAATTATTTATTAACTTTATATTTTTAGGTGCTCACGGAGAAGGGCATCACTCACGATCATTAAGAGGCCTCTTCAAGCACACCGGACAGCTCCTCTATTCTTTCTTTTTTCAACAACAAAAGTAGCGGGTGATCGCTCTTTGATTGGAGCCGTCTCCTAGTGCCACCTCGCGTCAACACCGGTTCATTTTCATTTCTATTTGTTTATGTTTTTGTTCTTTTTCTTCTTATGATTCCCCTAATGTTTTGTTTTGTCACACCAAACATTTCCGGGCCAGTAAAAAGATGTTTTCTCATGGAATACCTACCCCGTAGAATGGTGACCGTTGTTTTACTACTCAACTCGAATGTTTCCTCCCACTTTTACCCACCATTTTGATCTTGGATTCAAAAAGTATCACAATGTAGACTACTTAAACATTTTGTTTATTGTGCTCTTTCGTTCACTTTTGTTCGATACATTTTTCATTTCTTTTCTTCATCTCCGAGTTTCAATTTGTATTTTCATTGATATCTATCCTTTCCGAGTGTTCTTCTGAGTAGGCTCAACAACGGCTGTCCCTTTCTATTGTTCAAAGAACTACCCTGATTAAATGTAATGCCTGTGAAAGAAAAAGAACAGTTCCCAAGTATTTGCCAAACAACTTATCCTATTTCTTTTCCACGTTTGTTTTCTTTATTTCTCCAATTCCAACTTTGGCCAATTTGGTTGGTACTTATTTGTGGTGACTTTCTTTTTTCTTACTAGTGTTTAGTGCCCTTTGTAATCTTCCCTTTTTTCGAGAGTTTTTGTATTATAGTGTCCCCCATTTTCTTCCCTAAAAAATCTCTTGCGTTCTTCCCCCATCAATTTTCCCTTCTTTCTAGTTATTTTTTCCTTTTGCTGTAAGTGTCCCCGAATGTGTCCAAAAGGTAGTTCTCCCTTTTCTTCCCCTCTTTTTTTTCTTTTCTCTCCATAAACACACACATCAATCGATCGCCGATAGAATTGCTTCTTTACAGCTGCTGTGTTAAATATGCATTAAATTAAATAAATAAGTTGTATATTTTGCTCTTCAAAATAGCATTCCAGATTTGGGTGTCGGTATTTGACATCTGTCATCGGCAGAAATGGGAAAAGAAACCCAATTTCGCACGGGCTTTGGATTTATTTGTGGACGGGGTTTTGGTCATCGAATTCAAATGAAAAACTAACGGATACGATATCTAGATTGACTATATTTTTGTCTTGAAAGCTACAGTACATTTACTCACAAGTGGAAGGATCAACTTTGTATTTTTGTCTCTGCATTTTTTACAACACTTCATCTTTAATAATTGTTCAACTAGTTTTGAGAATGGCTTCTACAAAGCATCCATCTTTTTTTGTTTGCAAAGAAGAACAAATAATTGACCTCATTTATGAATGAAAAAATATGTAGACCACTTTTGCATAACAAAACTCTCATTCTAAGTTCTCAGCTATCGAGATGTTAAGCGAGTTTTACAATAAAACCAACTTACACAATGGAATTGAGGGTAAAAAGAGAAAGACGACTCTCCGTACTTGAGGGGGAAAAGAAAGGATCGGGGAATCGATGATGTGCACAGCCCCACCCCTCCCCCATTCAGTCTCTCTTTCTTCTCTTTTCTTTTTTTTGCTTCTCTCCTCGAAATTTCCCCTTTCCCCCTTTTCATCTCACATTTCTCCCCATCTCTCTCGCTCGCCGTTGAAATTTCCCCATTTTAGTACCACCACCAATAAACCATTCTCGTTATACCCGTTTGTGCATTTTGACTTTAGCTTTTTTTTCTCCATTTTTCAACCAACTAAAATCATCATCCATTTTAGACCAATATGGAAAACAAAAAGAATTATTTTCTTTAATTTTATTACCTTTTTAAACCTTTAGCATTTTCCCCATTTTTTAATCATTTTTGCGGCCCAACTTTCGGTGGTCATTTTTATGAAATTAGCCCCCTTTTTTTCGTCGTTACTTTTCGTAGCTTTGTTAGCCACAAAATTTAAATGAAAAGAATCACATTTGTCAGAAATTTTCAGAATAATCTACATTTAAGGTATTTTGGATCTTGTTGAGGATTCTGTTGCCTAAAAAAATGGCGATACTTCAACTCTTTGAATATCTTAAAAATGATTAATTTCAATTTCCATGAAAGACTCATTTCAGAATTTCCCAGGAGTGATTTCGAGAATTTCTTCGATTTTTTTAAAAGCTTAATCGTTACTTGATCATGATAAAATTCAGATTTGGATCATATATTGTTAAGATTTGGTTCAGTTTTAGTTCAGATTTGGTTCAGATTTGTTTCATATATTGTTAAGATTTGGTTCAGTTTTTGTTCAGTTTTAGTTCAGATTTGGTTCAGATTTGGTTTAGCTTTGGTTCAGTTTTAGTTCAGATTTGGTTCAGATTTGGTTCAGATTTGGTTCAGACTTGGTTCAGTTTTAGTTCAGATTTGGTTTAGCTTTGGTTCAGTTTTGGTTCAGATTTATTTCATATATTTTTTGAAGTCATTTACCACTAATTTTTCTTAAAATCAAACACTAAACAATATTTGTAAGTAAACAAAAGTGATCGCTAAAATCGACTCTCTCCTTTCCCTTTTCCTCCTCAAATCTCACGCCGATCCTTTTACAAAATGTCGTTTTCTCTTTTTAAGCACTATTTTTGAAGCAAAGACCTTTTGACGATTTTCCTAAACAAAACGATTTTTCATTATCTTAAGAATTAGCAAATTTTTAGAAGATTAAAATGAAAATATCAATCAAAAACACGTCAAAAATTCCTTTTTTGATATAGAAAACGACATTTTGTAAAAGGACCGTCAACAATTCCAATTCCTTGTTTCTAATTCGCCGAAAACTTTGTGAAACTGCCAAAAAAATGTTTCGGTTGTTGAAGATCGATTTTTCTCTCACCCTTTCTCATTTTTTTTTGTTCTTTCACAGTAAATTTTTCAATTTTTTACACCTTATGAGAAAACACAATATTTTTCAAAATGAATGACTTTATTTGATTTTTGATTTTGAAACTTTAATCTCAACCAATTGAATTTCCTTGACATGTTTCAAGCTTTAAAAGAGGTAGAAAGATGCTTCGATTTAGAAAAACAATCTACACCTCCTCTTCCAAAAGTTGTTCACAAAAATGACTCCCGGAATTCGAGAAGGGTTCGTTTTGATATTCAAATTCTATAGAAAACTTGTTTTCTGATCTCTAAAAGGCTCTAAAAGCTGAATCTGTTGAAAGTATGAATACGAATATGTACTTTGGGCTCTGGTAAACGCACGTCTCCTGCCTAAAGCCGATTTCATTTATCAGCGACATCTACAGTTTGAAAGAGGAATTAAATGAAGGTCTTCTTGCGTGCGCGGTGAGCTAGATGCGCGGCTAGGTGCGCGGCGAGCTAGATACGTTTATTGGAAACAAATTTAATAAGATAGTAGATAAAGCGATCACTTTTTACTTATCAATTTATTTTAAAGATTAATCCTGTCACTCGTTTCCTCACTTCAAATGGCTGAGCAATCAGCGCTGAACGCTCTCTCGAATGGCTTGGATATGAAAGAATTGGCTGCTGCTGGAGCCGCTTTTCCGTTTGGTAAGTGGAAAAGATCAAGTTTCAAGGTAAATAGCTTTAAATTAAACGCCCTGGGAGCCGTCATGGCCGAGTGGCTAAGAGTCCTGTTTGCTGGTCAGGAGGTCGAGGGTTCAATCCGGATCTGGACTTTTTTCTTCCTTACATTTTTCTTTTTCTTTCTTCCTTCCTTACATTTCTTCCTTACATTTAGGGCTGCATGTGTATTGTTTATGCCACGTTATTCATATGAATAAATGTACACTACTGGACAATGAAATATCATATTTGAAAAAAGATCGTCACTTTCGCGCGTCTGTAACTCCATTGTTTTTACCGTATTTCTAAATATTAATATTACCATTGTGTAGCCCTTGAAAAGAGCTTTCAGAAAATGTATAACACTAATAGTTTAAACTTAAAGACAAGGGAGTTACAGACGCGCGAAAGTGACGATCGTTTTTCAAATATCATATTTCATTGCCCAGTACTGTATCTCTTACATAATTAAAAATCGTTTTCTACAAATGAAATCAATCAAAAGTTGTTCAAATGTTTAGCGACAGAAATGAGAATTGTTTTCTATAGAAAAAAAATTGATCTCATTATAAAGTTTTCAGGAAAATTAACGACTACCTTATTGATGGTTGTACGGCCATCATCCGATCCTCGATCAGCTCTCGTCATCGATGCTTTGTTGCTCATTTTGGCGGCTGTTATCGGCTTAGTGCCAAGGTTGGTGTGGGAAAAGAATTTTTTATCAAAAAGCCTTTTAACCTTGTGAGATTTTTTCGATAATAAGCTTTATTCCTTTTTTTAAACAAAAAATTTGAGCTGGTTTTTCCTCTCGATCGCTCGTTTCTTCATGGGCGCCGGGGCGGGTCTTGGATTTGTTTGCGCGCCGGTGCTGCTCGCTGAGTTGGTCTGTTTCAAATTTGTTTCTTTGTTTCTTAGACTTTCTCCACTAAACCCAAATTTGCGGTTTCAATCTGGTTTGAGTTTGAACTGAATCAGTTTTTTCTAAGCTTACTTCAATTACTTTTGGGTAACTAGTTTTTGACTGAAAGATGAAAGGAAAAGCCTGTACAGACTACTCTTTTATATAGTAGATAAGTGAAAACTGATGTTTAATTTCATTCCCAGGTTCCCTACCGTCATCGTCCGGCTCATTTCCTCGTCCTTGGCTTGGCTTTCTGTTTCTCGACTCTAATCTCGAACATTCTACCAGTTATCAAATCCGATGCCTATCTTGTTGTATTGGCTTGTTGTGTATTCAGTGCGACTACAGGTGAGAAATGAAATCTGAATTGTATGAGTGAATGCTTTCACTTCAAAAAGACAATCAAATGCAAAAAAAACTCTGCTGGAAATATTGCGAGAGAAAAGAAAATTTTTGTCGCAAAGTTTGACAAAGGTTTTGAACAAATTAACAAAGAATAAACTAATCTAACAAAGCAATCGTTTTGTAAAATGTGTCAAAGTTACCGTAGACACTTGGAAACTTGCTAATTAATTAATATAAAAGAAAACTAGAAGCAATGATAGTTTTCAAGTGTCGATTGCATTCAAAAATTGCACAGGTGGCCTCTATTTATGGTTGCGACCGGGTCCACGCAATGATCTCCTTTTATCGGAAGAAGAGAAACAAGGTTTTGATGGATATCTACAAAATAGTCGACAAAGCAAGCGACCGATTGCCCTTACGAATGTCTTGATGTTGTTGAATGTGGTAAGGAGAGTTGAATGAACTTTTGAATACACTTTTGAATAAACAATCTTTCATCCTCTTTCAGACAATCGGCGTCCCAGTGATCCTCGCGTTTTCCCTTCTCATTTTCAAGGAATTCGGTGCCTCGGAAACGTCATGCTTTTGGTTGGGAATCGGTTTCCCGTTGTGTCAAATGGTTCTTCTTTCATTCCTCCATCAATACAATGCACTGAACCGGTACAAAAAGCTTTCACTTCTAGCCAAACTCAATTTCCAGCCGTCTTCTCGTTGTCGGTGGCTATGCCCTATCGGTTTTCATTCAATTCTTCCTCCTCCTAACCAGTGCCTATGATCTATTACCACCCGATGTAAGCTCAAAAATAATTCAAAGCCTTCTTGATCCTTAAAAGTTTTAGCAAAAGACGGCTTTCCTGTGCTTCTGGCTGTTTGCTCTCGCCGTCTCGACGTGTGTCCCGTGTAACACGGCGCTTTGTGTTATTGCAGGTTTAAACATATGCGAATTCCCATGTTTTTTGAGTTTTCAACCGTTTAAACTTAAAAATCTTGTCAATTTTGGTTTCATTTTCCACTAGAACATCAATAAAACGAGAATCTTTCAAATTCATCGACTAAATTGGCTTGAAGGTTGTCTGACTTGTACGGTTACTGTAACGAGACTGGTCTCTAGGCTTTATGCTACTGTTTTTAAGTTAACTGTTACAAGTTCAGAGCAATTCGCCGCTCCATCGGAACGATTGAGGTACGGGAGTGCGGGGAGGGCGTTGATGTGGCTGGGGACGACGATCAGGTAAAGAAAGATACCAATCAACAAGTGAAAATAGAGTTGTTCCAACGCCAGATCCTAGCCTAGGTTGCTCTCGGTTGGCCTGAATTTACAGCAGATATTCCCTAGGCAAATGCTGTGAATCCTTTACAGCAGATACTTCCTAAGCAAATGCTAAGGGATTTTACTTTACAGTTGACTTTCGCTAAACTATTTAGCATTTAGCATCTAGCATCTAGCATTTAGCATTTAGCAAATTTGCTAAATGAAAGACTCTGGCTCATGAAAGCTGCGAGAAGTCAGCCCAGGCCCAGCCTAGTTTATAGAACGGACTTTAATTTATCTAAAACACAACTTTACTTACTATCTTTAGCTTTATTAGAAATTTTTCCCTAATAATTTCAAAATGATCTCCATTTTAGCACATCAACCTTCATGGGCTGTGTCAAGGAATACGGTTTCACATGGGCTTTCTTTCCCTATGTCTTTCTCTCAGCGATTCTGTTGCTCATTTTGGTTTTCTTATATCCAAAAGATGACTAGAAGGATCTTGAGTTTTATGCGAATTTTTAAAACTATATTAGCTTAAAGCTTAGATTATGATGTCTTTATTCAATTCTTTTTGAAACATATCTTTTAAAAATCCCTTATTGATCAACATATCTCGTTTTTTTTCAGCATAATCTATTCAATTCTATGGGTTTTCACGAAATTTCTATTGTTTCTATTGTTTCAAACAAATGTTCTATCATTTTCTATCATTTTCTATCATTTTCTCTCATTTTTGTGCCATATCATTCCTATTTATGCCAAATTTTCTGCATTTTTTTTGACCGATTGTGATGGATGCTAATCTCAGCATGATCTCTGCTTTTTCTTTTACATTTTGAGAATTTTAAAGTTCATTATAAATCATTATAAATAAAATTTATAAATCTTTATATAGTATCTTTATATTGTAATTTTAGCAATTAAATTAAAGATTATTAAATATTTTATTTTAAAGATATTCAATTGGTTAATTATTCTCTTCCATCTTTTCGAAAAGGTGAGCAAATCGGAGAAATAATTTCTCAAATTTCCCACCCACCAAATTGCCTTAGAAATCCGCATTCCTCTAGGGACTCTAATGTCAAGTTGATATTAATATTTTATTTAATATGTTAGTTAATATGTTAGTTGATATTTCATCAACTAATTTCCATCAACATCAACTAAACATTTTCATCAACATCAATTTCATCAACAACCAACATCAACATTTTCATCACAACAACTACCGTATTTTCTGTAATAGTAGTGCAGTCTATAATAGTAGTGCAGGCAGGAGGGGGTTGAAAAAATAGTAGTGCGCACTACTATTACAGAAAATACGGTATCAAAAATCTCAATGAAACATACAAAAAGGTGCCAGGCACAGAATATTGGAACAAAAATATGAGAATGGAGAAATTGAGATGAAAAGAAAACCGAGGAATGACCCAGTTTTCATCGGGGAAAAGAGAGAAATCAGCCCGTCTTTTCTGAAAAGAAATGAAATGAAAAGAAACGAAACGAAAAGAAATGAAAAGAAAGAATCTGTTCTTCTCAAAATCTCAATCATTTTCGAATGGCCCAAATCCATGAAAAGAGAAGAAAAAGGAGAAATTTTGTCGTGAAATTGTCAAGGTCGAGATTATTGCCGATTTTCTCATTGAGCAGATTCAAATTCATAACTATTTTCGAAGTCTTTTAGAAGCTTGTAATTCATATATTTTTTTCTCGTTGTTTCCCCCCTTTCAAATTTTTTGTCCCCCTTCAATTTGCCCTTAAATTTCCCCTTCTTCAATTTCCCATCTCAGTTTCCCATCCATGCTGATGACAGCCGATTTGCTGTCATCAGCAAATCGGCTGTCATTTCATTCGAATGGCAGACCAGTGAAAAGCCTTTTTCTGGGAAAGAATGAGAAAAAGAATCCAGAAAAGACAGAGATTTGAGCAAAGAAACCCTTTTGTAGGGGCGATTTCCTTCATGTTTGCTAATTGAATCGATTTGGGTGGAGGAGGTGATGACCATGTGATTGAAGGCAAGGGAAAGCTTTGCAATCTCTTTTGCTTTTCAATTTATAATGGTAAATCACTTTTGGAGATAAAGATGATGTTTCGAATGGGAAAGTATGAGAAGCATTTCAGGAGAAGCACGCTTAAGTCTAGTCCTCAGAGTTTTCTAAAAGGTGAGTAACCTGGACACCATACTTGACCGATTGATCGATTGATTCTGATCAAATTAGCCGAGGAATCAAGCTCTCATTGAATTGAATCAAAATTATAAAGAAGCTGAAAAGATTAAGAAAGAATAGACCCTAGTCTTGGGCTCTTTATAGGTTTTTAATAGGGCTGCTTCTAGGGCTGCTTTGCCAAGCCAAGCCAAATCCAACAGTAACCAAAGCCAAGCCAAGCCAAATCCAAAAGTAACCAAAGCCAAGTCAAGCCAAATCCAAAAGTAACCAAAGCCAAGCCAATTATCTTTACTAAATTCTCCATAAATTCAAGACCAAGCCAAGCCAAAGCCAAGGTTCTCGATTCCAAATCCAACAGTAAGGTTGAAATTCCAGGCCAAGGCCATTTGGAAGCCCTTGACTTTGGCTTGACTTAGCCTTTAGCTAAAAGCCAGTAGCTTTTTGGCTTTTTGAAATAGCTCTGTTTTTTAATACTTCAAATATTCAAATATTCTTTAACTAATCATTCATTATATCATTATATCATAATCCAGTAAAATCATTAAACTTCTCATAAAATGAACAACAAATGATTGCCTTGTTAAATCTAAATTCTATCTCCTTTCCCTAGCAATGCTAAAATTTGCAAATTCGTCAGACAAATGCTCGTCAGACAAAAGTGAAATTGAATCAAATCCTCGACACCACCTCAATCATCAAAAAGAAATCCAGAAATCAGCAAGGATTTCTCATTCTTTTCAAATTATTTTCTTCGAAAAAGGGTTGCCAAATGATAGACAGCTTTCGCCTTTTTACGAAAAAAAAAAATGAAAAAGAACCAAAATCCGGTGACAATTTGAAGGGGCGAAAGGCTGCCAATGGCAATTTCACTAGCTCCACCCACTTTTTTTTTGATGGAGTGGACGATGTTGGGTGAATTTCACTTTCCCTTGACACTCACCCTAATTGCCAGCTTGTAAATCACTTGGATGAGCTTTGGTGAATGCATTTTTTTGACTCTACAAACTCTCCAAAATTGTTTCCTCCAGGATTTGCGTCTTTTTGCACTTCTTTGTACTGTAAATGAGTGGAATCAATCTTTATGTAGAATCGAAATTTGCATTTACACTATTCCAAATGAAATTGGGCAAACATTTTTCAATCAGTATCAATAATTTTACAGAAAAAAAAGAAGAAAAAGGGATTGCCATTTATTTCTCGGTGATTAGAACTGTGGCTTGAATAGAACTGTGGCTCAGATAGAACTGAGGGTCAAATAGAACTCAGGGTCAAATAGAACTGAGGCTTAAATAGAACTGAGGTTCAAATAGAACTGAGGCTTAAATAGAGCTGAGGCTCAAATAGAACTAAGGCTCAGATAGAACTGTGGCTCAGATAGAACTGTGGCTCAGATAGAACTGAGGCTCAGATAGAACTGAGGCTTCAATCCTCCCTTCAATTCAATCCTCTCCTGAATTCAATCCTCTATCCAATATCGACTTCATTAGCTATTTATTAAGGATAACTTTCTTTTTTCCTTCCCTTAAATTCATTTTTGTTTTGTTTTTTGGTGGAGATTGGGGGAAAAGATTCGGGTCAGTGAAATCACGCAATCGAACTTCTCAAATAGGCGAAGAGAGATTTTTTCAAGCGATTTTTTGTATTTTCCGATTTCTCCCTGACCTTTGAAGAAAAAAAAGACAGATCGAAATCGTTTGTCTCATTTTTTTAAATATTCAGCTTTCATTTGCTATTTTATATTTAATATTTAAGTTGCTCGTCATTTTCAGTGAAAAGCCTTGTTCTTTAAACGTCAAAAGTGTTGAGATCCCGAAAATTTATTCAATCTTCAATAAGATTTTCAAATCTTTGTTCGAAAAGAAAATTTCACTAATTTTTATAGTAATTTAGATCCAGGCACCGAAAATGCTAATATTTTTCTTTATTTTCTTTTTCATCTCGTCAATCACTGCAGCGATGACCGAAGTGAAGAGACATCACAAAGCGACTCGGCACATTCATAAACCCCATCATTTGTGCAAAGAACCCGACGATTTGGTCAGTTTCAATAAGCGGTTGAGATCGGAGTTTGAAAGTGATTACTTTGATGAATACGATTGCTTTTAGCCAAGCTATTAGCCAAGCTATTAGCAAAGCTCTTGAGTTTTCTTGTCCTCTTGCAAAGTCCTCTTGTAAGCGCTTAAAAAACAATCAAAATGAGATTTGAACCCAATTTCTGGAGTCATTTGCACTTTGCTGAAAGAGAAAGCCTGGCACACTGGAAAACTCGAAGTGGAAATGAATCATTTTCTTTTATAATTTCTCTCCTTCCCACTGAAATCCATCAATCTTCTCCGATTGATGATCCATTCACTTAACGGCTTCCCTCTGCCATTCACTTAACAGTTCCCCCCTGCCATTCACCTCATTTTCCTTTTTAGAAGAGAAATTCCTAATCCTTTTCGATTTCGATATTCAGCTGATCAACTGTCTGATCGGGGATTACAGTAGGAAACCCTGGAGGATAGGTTTGATGACTTTTGATAGCCTGGATGACTTTTGATACCCTGGAGCACTTTTGATAGGTTCATAAGTTTGGGTTTCGCTTACATTCTGGGTTGTTTGGATGTTTGGATGACTGAATGTTTGGTTTGGCACAAGTTTGGACTACAATAGGTGAAGCACTTCATTTATACAAGACATCAGGATACAGGAAATCAGGATACAGGACATCTGTACAGTCCATGGCTATGGTTAAGTTTACGTTGCCTAGTACAATCCACGTTATAGTTAAAATTACAATACTTAGTACAGCTGCAAATACGCCTAAACTAGGCCCAATTTCTTCTTCAGACTTCAGACTAGATCCAATTTCTTCTTCAGATCTTTCTAGATATAGTTATTTCATAAAGCATCATAATACTGATCATTCCCTTTCAATAATCGATCACTTTCCCCTCACAAAACATCATTGATGTTGGCAGAACCGTTTCCATTTCTCCTTTTTTAGATGTCACAAAACCGCTTTTATCGCACTTTTCTTTTCACTTGAACTTTTTTTTTTGGATCGGCTAGATATTATATGTCACTTTTTTGGGGGGAAATTGAGGTAAATGTCAAAAGATTCATCATGTTTAAGCGAGTTTTGAAAGCAATCTTTTCTCTGTGTTTTTGAAAAAAAAAACCGGGAGCTTTAGGTGTGACTAGTGGCAAATCTTGAGGTAAATAAGCAAAAGCAAAACTTTTAAGCGTTAAAGTAATTTGAGTGGAATTTGAAACTATTGAAAACTAGGGTTTTTTTCTCAACTCTGACTGCTACTTTTTAACCTTGTTTTTAAGTTTTAAAAGCTTTGATGATGATATTAGAGGAATTGAGATTACCCTTGAGTCATCAATTTTGAAACCGTAAGAAAAACAGCTTCCCCTCAACTTTCTCTAGTAAATAACCTTGAGCAAATAAGTGACGAAGTGTTTTCAATGACATCATTTTTGAGAACTTCTACAATCTCCATTTGTAACACCTTAAGAAACATAGAAATTAGAAATTAACTATAAACAAAGGTTGCATGATTACAGAATAAATGAAATCCAATCAATTACTCACAAGAGAAGAGAGATCTAGGTTATCTGCTGATTTTTTTTTAAAGGACTTAAGGCTGTTGGACTTAAGGCTGTTGGACTTCAGGCTATTGGACTTAAGGCTGTTTGACTTAAGGCTGTTGAACTTAAGGCTGTTGGACTTAAGGCTGTCGCATTCAACGATTTTGAAGCATTCAACTAAATCAGTCCCCAAGATCAGCGAGCAAACCTTTTTCGGATGCAACAAAACCATCAGAAAACCCAAATGGCGTTATGGCTGCCTGCATTAAACGCCGATCAATTTAAAACTCACAATAATCAATTTAAAACTCACAATAATCAATTTAAAACTCACAAGAACCATTTCAGAAAACCCAAATGGCGTTATGGCTACGGGAATCGTTGATGGAGGGTGGAGTGAGAGAGGAAATAACATTGGATGAAGATTGGACACCGCCACAAGATCAGGACCCGATATGCGAGGGAACACCCGATACGGGCACTGATTCATCGGTCATGCAGCGCTCGTTGTGCCCCTGGCAGTGGAGGTGATTTTGAAATAAAACTTTGGATGGTTCGTTACCGTAATACACTTGAGTATTAGCTGTCGGATTAAAAATTGGCGTCGGATTGGCGGATAAAAGTAGAAGCTTACAATATCAGTATCAATTTCAACTTTAGAGTGAACTACGATGAAGCGAGAGAGCCAAAAATCATCTCCGAAGCACATTGTATCTGCCGGAGGAGTCGAGGAGGATCAGGTAAATAAGAAAAGCTAAAGAAGAGAAGTGAAGAGACTCCAGACCTTACAGTAAAACGTTTAACATTGTACTTTTGTAGACGCTTTTTATACTAAAAGAAGTTTCCAGTTGCCTTTTGTCTGCCGATCAAACGAGAGGTGCCCATTTTGCGGCGAGCCGCTTGTGATCCGGTGACGGGAAGATGGGAATATGCTCGGGCAACGATTCCGGTAAGTGAAAAAGAATTGAGAGTAAGAATCAGAAAATTTTAGGCAATTTTAAACTTAGCCTCCTAGAAAGCCTACTAGATTTTGTAATTGTTTGATGTTTAAGAGAAGAGAGATCTAGGTTATCTACTGATTTTTTTTAAAGGACTTAAGGCCGAAATTTGACAAAACCCTGAAACTCTAACACTTTCAACAATTATCTCTTCCGGCATGTGCATTTAAAAAACATTTCATTGACTAAAGTTACTGTAAGTAGCAGTACAATATCTCAAAAAGTATTTAACCTTTAGATCTTTCAGATCTTTCAGCTTGATTATAAGTAAAAAGTATTCATTATTAGCACATATATACATCTTTTGGAATGCTGTAGTGAAGTGGGATGATTGAACTTTACAATATCTTGTAGAGAGCGAATTTACCTCTAGACAATGGCACGTAAATATGATATAAGAATGAAACAAGACTTTGGAAGATTTTATAAAGAAAGCAGCTAGCTTTAGACTTTAACAATAGCCCATTCCTATAGCCTACAAGTTATAAAGTAATAGCCAAACTCGGGATTTTGTCTACAACATTAAAGCCAATTCATCCGTTTTATCAAAAGCAATTCATCCGCTTTTCAGGTAACAGTTGGCTGTCATTCTGTTCTTCCGCGATCCGCCCGCGCCACTCCATTGAGTCAACACTACAAAACACCGATCGGGGCTATTTAATTTCTAAAAACAAACCTAGAACTACAAGATCTTAAGTCTTATCCTTTTGAAGTGTTCACATTTAGTTTTCATCCGTAGCTTTAGTTCCCCTTTATCTATCGAGTGTCTAGTTTTTCGAATTTTTAGAGTTTTCTATTTGAAACATTCCAATATTTATTCGGAACTGCCCATTTTCTGTGATTTCTTTGATTTCTTTGATTTCCCTATGTCTTTCTTTTCAAAGTCTCTTTCACTTGCCATTTTTTTTACCTAAACGGGTCATTTTCGACGGGTTAACCCTTTCAAAACTTTTGTGATTTTATTTATTTGCTCAGAGTATGCATGAAATAAATACTTTATGATGGATATTAAAAAATTTGAAATTGAAAACACAATTTAGACATTGATGAGAAGATTTCGTTTCGTTCATCGCTCAGAATCTTGCTGTATTCAGTATGCGATGAAGAGACAGTATATAGGACATCAGAATGTCCTATATACTGTATAATATCTGATAGATTATCATCTAGAACTTTCTATATCTTTAACCAATCACTTTCAAACGTAAAAACATATTGTGGACTTCCGAAAAAGCTTATTGTAAACTCTTCAAAGCAAACAGTTTTCTTAAAACGCGCCCCAAATGAATTACGGTATGATGAATTGGCGACTTGCCAAAAAAAACTAAAGTATTAAGGGAGCAAAACGAATCTTGCGGCAAATTTCAATTCTTTGACTTGTTTTTAGTTTTCCCTTTGTCGTAAAAGGATTTTTAACGTTTAGAATCAAAATATTGCCTCTAATTTATCAAAATTTTCCGTTTGTTGATGCTTTTTTACTCAAAAGCTCGAAAAATGATCTTTTCTATGTTTTACCCGAGTTTCTAATGCTTTTCCAAGTTTTAGCCTTGATTTCTACATATAATCGTGTAAATTTAGATGTTCCGCAATCAGTACGATTCAGATGTGACGGTTTGGTCACCGCAGGGACGGCTCCATCAGGTAAATTTGATGTTTTTGTTGGTTTAAAGTTGTATGGTACTAGCAGTGAGTAAAAGCTATTGTAATTTAAAGATTAAAATACCTTGATTGATATTTGTGTTTAGGTTGACTATGCCGTGGAGGCGATGAACCAGGGAAGTGCCACCGTCGGGATCAAAAGCAAGACACACGCTGTTATCGTTGCACTTAAGGTTAACATTTCTTTTGTTATGTAATGAGCTTCGATGAGCTATGACTGTTGTTGACAAGTTGTAGCGAGAATTTAAGAATCTAAACTATCCAAAAGCAATTACTTTAATTTAATGCTTGGATATTTTATTCAATTAGCTTTAGCCAACAGTATTTTTTCAACTTTTTTTTTCATTTAGAGAGCAACTTCTGATCTTTGCTCCCATCAAAAGAAAATCTTCGAGCTTGACGAGCATTTGGGAGCATCAATTGCAGGTTTTCTTGACCGTTTTGGACATTGAATTATTTGATTTCTTAGGTCTTCTCTCCGATGGCCGCATTCTTGCGCGTTTTCTTCAAACTGAGGCTTCGAGCTGGCGCTGGGATTATAAGGTAAAAGTAAAACAGAATTTCGGCTTTAGTTCTATTGTTTAGACCCCAGTTCCACTGAGCTTGCTTTGCAATCGGGTCCAGTTGAAGCTGCAGGCGAACACGCAATACTACGGACGACGACCTTTCGGTGTGGGACTTCTGATTGCGGGTTTCGACAAAGAAGGTCCGCACATCATCAAGACTGAGCCATCAGCTGAAGTGGTTGAGGCGTATGCTGCATCAATTGGATCTCGCAGTCAGAGTGCTCGCACCTATTTGGAGAGGAAATTCGACGAGTTTGAGGTAAATGCGTAAATAAATTGAAACTTTAAAACCTTGGATATATTTTGCTAAATTTATTTTCTAATTTCAGAAAGCTTCGCTGGATGAGCTGATCACGCATGCATTGATCGCGATTCGAGACACCCTGCCAGCTGATGAGAATTTGACCACGAAGAACACATCGATTGCTTTTGTCGGAAAAGGACAAAAGTTTAAGGTAAGCAGATTTAGCAATCATCTGAACTTTTTAAGTACTAAAATAAAATAAATAAATTCGCAGTTTCACCTTTTAATTTTAGTGTCTCGAGGACGAGGATATCAAGGAGCATTTGGACAAAATTGTTGGCGTGGCTCGTGCCGTGCAGCCGGGACAAGCTCACGGACAACAGCCCGATCAAGCCGGTGGTCAAGGTGGACAGCCTGGACAAGGGGGACCCGGTGGACCACAAGGTGGTGGTCAACCCGGTGCAATGGAACATTGACCTGTTTAAAAGTATTTATTTGTGTTATGTGCTTGACTTTGTTCGAATGTGATTTTTGGCTCCTAATTTAAATAAATCTTTTCATATTGTGATATTGTTGGAGGGGAAAGAGGGTTTTTGAGCCCATGATTTATCAAATCTTATTCAAAATATCCACCGGTTGGGAAAAATTTAGTTTTTAGCGCTTATTTCAGTTAGAGTTCTGTTAATCAACTATCTGCCAAGGAGAGAAATGATTTTGAGGCAAAATGTTCTTGTTTTCAGGTTCCAAAGTGTCGTGTCGTAGTGCCGTAGCACAGACGAGACGGCAGAGTAAACATGTGGTTTGAACAGGTTGGCGCACCTTTATTTTTTCACGTTTATATTGGAACACTTATTCCTTATATTAAAAATGTTTTAGATCTACTCCGGCTTTGTCACGTTGGCCTTTGTGGGCGCCGCCTGCTACATTTCCTATCCTTTCAACAAATTGGACGTCAAAAGGGCCTACCGAAGAAATTATGGAACGAATGAAAGGTATTGCTTTTGTCGTAGTAAAGTAGGAATAACCAGAAAAACAAAACCAGTTTGCTAGCTTCTGAGATTTGAAGTTTAGCCAAAATACTGTTATTTTTGTATTGTATGGGCAAATGATTCACAAAGAAAGGCAACGAACAATTTATAGAATTTTACTCATTAGATTTGGATTCATCGGGTGCGCTTTCGTCTGCATCACTGATTTAGGTTGCGGATCCTGAACAAAGCTGTTAAAAGGCGTACTAGAAATAAACTTAAAATCGCCGTTTGGGGAGCGTTTTGAGGCGTTGCTTCATTCATGTGGACTGGTGGAGGCTCTGGTTGCTTATCTTGTTTTCTACCTAAATAAAAAGTATGCCAGCTGCTTTCTTGATAGCATTGGCCTTTGGCTAAAGAAAAGTTAAATGAGTTAAGTCAGTAAAATACCTTTTTTCTTCAAAATTTTGCGACAGTTTGGGACAACAGCCAAAGAAGCGGCCGAAGCAGTGGAAGCCTCAGAAGCCGTACTCATCTAGACTCCTGTTCCCTAAATGAATACATTTAGCTGGACACTTCAGAGATTAAGCATATGGAAAGTTGTTTGATTAAAAGCAGACTTATATGTCCGTTTGTCCTCCCCTGCTACCATCTTTCTTCTTTCGCTTCGCCGTCTCATCGCTCGACTTCTTTTTCAACGACTAAAGAAAACAGTCTTGAAGCAGGAGCAAAAAACCTTACTTGCATAGCCGATGCCTTTTGCCATCTTCGTTTTCTTTGACTAAACGGATGATTGTATAAATAATATAAAGTTAGACAAACAACCGGTGCCAGCCCTATAGCGCTCTTCGTTGCTTTCAGTCTCCGATTCGTCCTAAAAGAGAGAAGATTCATTCGCTAAACGGAAACCTTATCTGAGTCGCGGCAACAACAACAACAGAGTATCTTCGTACATAAATTTCGAAACATTAGCTAAAAATAAATTCCTGAAAAGTATTAACAAAATTTCTAAAGACTTATTTGATAAATGTGAGTTGTCGCGCAGTAAGAAATGAGGACACGATCCTATATCGCGCAGAAATAAAAAATAATCTAGGAAGTTTTGACCGCATTTTATGGCAAGGTTAAATGCAAATTAATTTGTTGTTTTAGGGTGATGCTCTCGAAGCGTGATCATCGATTAACAGGCAACCAATACGTCATCTCCGGACTCGATTCAATCAAGGATGCATAGGTTTATTAATTTTTCTAGTTTTCCGTATTTTATGGTACATCTTTTTGTCGATTATAGTAGTGTCAATAATTCATTTTTGTGCATATTCGTATAGGCGATAAAGTTTAGTGGCACTTTTTAGAAACGACATCAAATTAAATCTGTTTCTTTTAGGAGAAGTAAATATCTGAATACCAACTTGAAGATTTATTCTGATTTTCCCAGGTGGAACTTTCTGTGATTGAAAAAGACCCGTAAGAAACAAAAATGATAGATCACAATTAAAAATGCATGTGAAAACCCGTAATGAAAATATTTCAAGTAGAGTGCTTCAAAGATATTCAGGGAGTAAACTATGAACTCCGCAAATCTTTTGAATTCGCTCGCGATCCTTTTGAACGACGTGAATGCTCAAAATCCAAAAGAAGAACATTCCGGTAAATACAAGAACACCTAAATTAAGGGTTTTTCCAACTTTTCAAACCAATTTCTTACCATAGAAATCCTGTAAATCGCTCCCTTTAAACATGTGATCGAGGAGGGAAATCGTGAAAAGAAAAACGACACCCAAACTGAAATTTACTCAATTTTTCTTCATGAACTACTATCAATTGGGTTTTTGCCTTTTCCCACCTGATAGTCAAATGGATGGCAGCACAGATAATGAAAGGTAGGAAGAAATTTGGTCGATGTTGTCGGATGGCCATTTGAAGGGAAATCGCGATCGCCGTGTTCAAGAGAAATGAACAAATCACTCCACCTGAAATGACAACTTGGTTATTAAGTTTGTTATGAATTAAGTTATGAGTTGATTAGATAGGAGTGGTTCATTGAGGTTTTAGAGTCTGGTTCTTATACTTTCAAAGTGTCCCCCTTGCCCACTCAGCCGAATATCTTCTAGTTTTGTGGGGGAATTTCAAACAAAAGGGGCAGCTACGAAAAATCTACGCAGAAAAATAGACTGGGCTTCGTAGCTTTCATAGCAGTCCCATTTGCTTGAATTTTCGCACAAAATTAGAAGCTATTCAACTAGAGCTTAGGGGGACACTTCAAAAGTATACTGGTTCTCTAGTATAATTGCTATTTGAATACGGTATCATTCAAGCTTACGGGAGCAACGCGTTCAATCGAACTCACCCAGATAAAGAACATTATGATTTGTATCGTGCTTCTGGAAGTCCCAAATCGCTAACGCCAACACCGATGCGACAATGTTGAGAGAAAAGAAAATGCCGGCAATTGTTGAGGAATTGAGTCTCCATGAAGTGGAAGACATCTGCAAGGTATCGGTGGTTTAAAAAAAAAGAATAAAATATTCAAAAATACTTGTAGAAATTGTAGAATACAAAAATAGAACTTGAACTAGCAAAATCTTATTATCAAAACCATTTGGATGATCAATTTCGAGACAAATCAATTCCATCAACGAAATATCCATCATTTCTCCCAATTGATCACTGATAAGGTTAGCACAAAGAAAAAGGATACATCATTTAGTCATCCACTATAAAATGCACGGCCACCGACCATTCTTGCTATTTTTTGATTCTTTCCAAGAGACTTTCCCATCGCTTTGTGTCAGAATGAAGTTATTTGTTGCAACTATTGCATGAGTTCCTTTGGTTAAAAAATTTTCAGCTCTACAGCTAAAAAAGATAGCTGTCATCCAAGCCAAGACTGACAAAAATGACTTTGACTTGAATGTGTTAAAGGAACACTTTTTGCAAAAGGAATTCTATCATTTTAGGTGTAAAAAGACACTTCCGATCAACCTTTTTCGGGACTAAGTTAGAATTAGAATTAGAATTAGTTAGAATTAGATATTAGAATTAGAATTAGTTAGAATTAGATATTAGTTAGAATTAGAATTAGAATTAGTTAGAATTAGATATTAGAATTTCTCAAAAACCCTACTAAACTTCGGATTTATTTTTAAGACAACTTGACCCAATAAATAAAAGAATTCCAGAAATTGATTCCAGAAAAGCTAACCCGAAACGCTCAACTTTGAAACACAAAAGTTAGCATCCAAAAATCGATCAATGTTTGTAAGTGTGGCTAGATTTGGCTATAATTTAGGGAAAAACTTTTTTCCAGGGACAATAGCCGCGGAAATGGATGGAAAAGAGCGGAAAACACAAAAGATTTTTGAGGGGAAATCGGGGAACTTTTCCCCCTTTCGAAGTTCAAGGGGAAAAGTCGTGCCTCAACAAATTAGAGAAAAGAAAAGAGAACATCGAAAAATGGCAGGAAGAAAAAAAAAGGAAAAGAATTCACATATCTGATCGGCGTTTTGACCCGAAAGTAGGAGTTTTCTCAGTGCTTGAAGTGCTTTGCAATCAAATCTTCTCAAGCTACCGTAAACAAGAAAGCAATATAAGTAATTGCTAATATTTTATTGAAAATCTCTTTTTGGCTGAGTAAATGGAAAGATCGATTCTAGTGTAACCTTGAAAAAAGCTCCCGAAAAATAATCACTTTCAAAATCTTCAACATAAACTACAAGTTTAGTGGATCAATAAAGAAATTGAAGAGATTATTTTTAATAATATTCTCCTAAACGATCACAGAATAAGCAATTGAGCTCAAAAAAAGGAGAAAAGAATTTCAAATTAGCGCTTTTGTGAGCTTGAAACCCATTTTTTAAACATTCTATTGTACAGAACATTTTTTTGAATTTAAGACTAAATTCTGCCTTTATCGGGTACTTTTTCAACAACGGAACAACAAGGAATTCAAGGAACTCAATAAAATACGAAATAAAGATTGGGAACCGAAACGGAACAAAATAGGAGCCAAATAGGAACCGAATCAGAACCAAATGGGAAATGTGCCAGAAAAAGGGTTTTTACCAGCGCAAAGTATATCGTCTTTAAATGCATTTCGCGAAACGCCCTTTCTACTGCACAACTCCATAAAAATCATCAATTTTCAAACAAGCAATTGTAAGCTCTGTTAAGCGGTTTCAAAAAAAAACCCCTTTTCGCCTCAAGAATCCCGATCTTCTTTTTGGTGGTGTAGCTACACAAAAAGCAGAAGAAATATGGCCATGTCATTATTTTTTGTTGGCTTTTTTTTCACTTCTGAGTCTTGAATCTTTCCCAAAGAAGACAAATCCCTTCGCCGAAGAAATGTTATTGAGAAAGAAGACTTTGACATAACAAATTCCCCTTTTAACATTAAGATCACCTAGATTTACGGAAAATGTACAGAATTGAACTAATAGAATGGAAAAACTATGGCAGATTTAAAGTATTCGCGACGACGGCATTTTGAGCGTAGAGTCGCGTAGTCGTTACTGTTTAACTGATAATTTGGTGAATATTCAAAGATAAACTAAACTATTATAGCCATTTGATAGCCCTGAATCTCCTCTTGGAAACTAATATAAAGTTAGTGATTTCTTTTTGCGAAATAAATAGCAAAAATCTTTAAAAACTTGACACCAAAAATAGTCGTGATTTGATTAGTACAGAGATCGGTGGATTCTCGTGAATGTATTAGTGGAGATTCAGAGCTTAGTAATTAAAACGAAACTATTATCGAGTCACTATAATAGTTTCGCTTATCTTTGGTAAGTAATTAAAAGGCCAATTAGTAATAAAAAAATGAAAGCTTTTATTACTTTTCATTACTTTAAACATTGTAATTTTAAGTGGGAAAAAGTTGTGAGGAAATTTAAGTGAGAAAAAGTGAGTTTTGTTGTTTTCTTCAGTGAATCAACCAAGTAAATAGAGATGTTTCAAGGAATTTTTGAAAGAAACTTTCCAAAAAATGAGTAGAACATCAAAAAATAGAAGAAACAGTTAACTGTTTTCAATTCCTAAGTTCTTAACAAAAACATTGTCTCAAAATTCATATACTCAATGAAATTAAAGGTTTTTTTAAAAACTTGTTTATTTATTTTTCATTTGTCCCTTTTCCTTCCGTCTGTACAAATTTGATTTTTATTTTCGATCATATTTCTTTTCCGTTATCAAAACGGGGAAAACATTTTAATGATTTTCTAATCAAAAAAAAATGTTGTTTCAAAAATTTAACCAGTTTAAAAAAGGTTTTTACAGTTAATGGTCGAATTTTGGTCTTTTAATTATTCTTTTCTTTTAAAGAAGATAGTAAAGGTTTGAAAATTTACATTTTAGCAAATAAAGAAGCAAAAGTTTTTTTTCAATTTTCGAGTTTGACATCGTTATATTGAACAAATCCTTCTTAATTCGCCACTCCAAATTTTCGAAATTCTTCTACAAAGCTCAAAAAGTTAAAAATAAAGCATTGATTGGCGGTATTGATTGGTTTAAGCTTAGAAAATTCAGAGCATTTTTAATTCTACGCTGCCCATTTCGCATACAAGGTTGTTTATTTGAATGGGTAAACAAAGGGACTAATCTAGAAAGTTTTATTTCAATTCTATTCTAGCTTTATTTTATTTTGAATCTAGAGGGTTTTCTTTTATTTTTTTATTACTATCAAAATCTCCATTTTATTTCAATATGATAAGATTTAGTGCAAATGGAATGATGGAATGGATTGGAATGGAAATGGAACGATGGAATGGCTTGGAATGGAAATGGAATGATGGAATGGAAATGGAATGTTTAGCTTGTGCGATATGTAAATTAGGATGACAATAGAAAATTCTGAGAAAAAGCAGCTTAGCAAATTGTGAGTCGAAATTTTCCAGATTTCCTTTTTTTGTTTCCCTGCTTTTTCTTTGCATTTCTCGCAGTGGCGATAATTTGATTTACCCACCGGAAAACAGACACCAAAATGGGGGGAAATGTGAAGAAAACGAGGAAAAGGAAAATTTGGAGAGAAAATTAGAGAATTTTTTTTTGGTTTTGCAAAAAGCATCGAATTAAAGGGCAAAGCCTTTCCTTGAACCATCATTCTTGAAGCTTTTATTATCAAAATCAGATTCAAAGCTTTTTATATTATCAACCAGTAAACAAATTGAAAGAAAGAAAGAAAGAAATCGTATAATTTGTTGGGTTGGAGAGAAAATTTTCTCACTCAATGAAAAAAAGAAAAGAAAACGGCCGTTTTTCTCTCGGACATACATCTGAATAATGGACAAGAAATGGAGAGAAAAGAAAAGAAAAGAAAAGAAAAAAGGGAACAATAAAGGAGAAGAGAAGAAATTGGGCGAATTTCCACCTCAACTCGTTACTTACAAAGCTTTTTTTGCAATTTACATTGCAGATTTAACTGGGCTTGCAACGATAAGAAGATAAAATTTATTTGATACCGTACCCATATAAAGGAACTGATGGGTTACAGTACGATATCGATCAAATTAGAGCCAAATAGAAATCACATCAAGATAAACTAAATAATTTCTTTTACTTGACAATTGTGATTTTCGCTACAATAAACCAACTAAATTTTTTCCCACGCAGTCCTCTCGAAATTTCCGACTTTTTATCGAAATTCTCGGCGAATAAATTTCCGATTATTCTTTGGGCATTATTCTTTTGTAAACGGGCTTTTGGTTCCTATGGGTTATACCCCAGCGATAATTATTTGTAGCCAAAATACGGGAAAAATGGCTCAAGATCAGCACAAATTAGAGATTTTGCTTGAAGATACAACAAACGAACCTCGCCAATCGCCACCATTTTAATAGACGGTCCTTCGGCGCTAAACCACACGGAACAGGATCCGTAAAAGCCAATCGGCCGGGTGGAAATCCCAGATGGGAACCCCACCCACGGGTCACAGCATAAGAGAAGGCCTAAAAGGGACAGTTGTTAAGAAAACATTATTCAGACAAACATTTCCGATAAGATCGCGATCCAGTCGATCCATCAAACAACCTTTAACCTAAAATTAAAGTCAGTAGATACAGCAAAACAGTATTACCAAGCCCCGCTCGACTCCAATCAGCCAACGGATTTTGAGACGAGAATTGAGTGCCGCACAAATGTTCTTCTGGATATCTAGAGTCTCCAAGGTCTCAAGCTTTTCAGGTGCCCACTAAAGTCGTTTATCTTAAATAAATTTACAAAATAACGATCACTTGAACAAGCCAATCAGCTGGCTCTGATGGCGGTGGTTGCCCATAGTTCCATCTTGATTTAAGCGGGGTTTGTTTATTCATTGGAAATATTTCTTCCCCGGCTCCTTTTGTGAACTGAACCATAGATAGGTAAAAGCAAATAGAAACAAAACAACCGACTTTTGCCACCAGCATCTTCATCTTATCTGCCACTGAGAAAACTCTGTGCGATCGGGATCCTGTGTCAATACGGTCTCCTGCCATTACCAAAAAGTTGGCTCCAAAGTTGCCTGTGTTTTTTGCGTACCTAAAAACAAACAAAGTCAAAAGAAAGCTATCTTTTTTTCTTACCAATGACAACGACTGTACTTCTTTTCCACAATTCGGCCAAAAGAATCACTAACCAAGTTTGGGTCCTCGACTTTCTAAAAAATGGCTTTACTATTTATTATAAAAAGCCAAAAAAGCACCACTTCGCGTGAACGATTTTCAAAGGGTTCAAATGGTGGATTGACTTTGACTGGACGTGGCATTCGAGGAAATGCTAAGAGCTTCTAAAAAAGTTTATCGATCAATTTTTGAGCTATACCACCAACCTTTTGAGTAGAGCCTGTGGGATCTTCAGCCTTTTCTTATTCAAGAGCCACTTCAAACAGTTCGTTCAACTTTGATCCCTATATGAACGTACTTTCATGAAATTATATTAACAAAACCTCGACTTTGTCATCACTAAACGCTTTTGTCGCCGTCTCAATTCCAGAAGTTGAAATCTAAAGAAGAGTTCTTTGAACAAAAACTATCACGTTGCCACACGCGATTTCCGTAAAGCATGAGGAAAATATGATTAAATGGATTTATCTGTGACGTCGAAGTTTCCATGAAGCGCCATGTTCGCCATCCGAGGCGCTCGAATCAGAGATTTCCTCTTTTTCTTCAAACATCGCCATCTAAAATGGAGAAAATAGTAATAGTAACATCAAAAATGAGCAAAAGAAAAAGTACGATACTAGAATAGGTTTTTGGCTAGACTTTAGAAAAATAAAAAGCTCGGGTTACTTCGGGTTTTGTAGCTTCAAAAAGCAAAAAGCTTTCAATACGACAAAAGATAGAAACTCCTAGTGATTTTATGGGGCGAGGGAGAGATTTTATCCGTAAACAAATAAGGAATACAAATGGGCGGAAACTGATGCAACGGCTAACAAAATGGGCTTTGAACACATGTAGGGAAGAAACTGCGCAAATGAAAAATAAAAAGAGTGCAAAAGGGCGCACTTTAGCAAACACCGAATGTGCGGTACGGTCCATTCTTCATTTAAAATTTGAATTCTTTCAATTCATTTTCAAATTTGGATTTAACCGTCATTTTTGCGATTTTGCATATTCTCAAATTTGAATTTAACCGTCAAATAAAAGAAAACGCAATGTTGGGAAAAATCATCTTGATCTTCTCGCCCGATCAACTTCTGCAATGCCTTCAACCAAGAGTGGGTTTTTTTGTTCTTTCTTTATTTTCGTTTACTTTTGATTTATTTTAATTCGAGTTGTTATGCTTTTAGTTAACATGTTTCTTAAGTTACTTTTCCTAAGGTCCCTAAGTTACTTTTTAAAGTATTGTATATAGTCTATGAATCTAATCTTCCTATAAGTTTGCACTTCATTTAATCTTTCATCGTTCAGAGGTGGCTTCTGTCCGCTCTCGTGGTCGTGCTGCTCGCTCAAGGCCTTCTTCCGTGTCAAGTGCCGGTTCTATTCGTTCTCGTTCGGGTCGTTCGCGCACTCCAGCTGCCCCAAGAGCTTCGATCTTCAACTACCTTGCTGACCCTCATCATCAAGCCCTTCGAGCTCGCCGTATTGATAAGAGACGTCAACGTCGCGTGGACAAGGTGTGTTTTCCTTTTCTTGTTCATTAACGTTGTTTGGTTTGCCATTTAAACTGTTTGTTTAGAAATCGCTTCCTTCTGTTGCGATCAACCAAGTACCCTCAAGCCCTTCGGGATCTCAGGTACGCATTGCGCTTTTTTTTCACTTAACCTTGCAACTTAGAATTCTGGAAGTCTCTCGGATCTTTCTGCAACCACTCCATCCACTGCCGGTGGTCAAAGCTCTCGTTCGGCTTCAGTGGTGACGGCTACCCGTTCCAAAGTCAAGCGCGCATCTCGTTCTCGCTCTCGTTCGCGTTCAACTCGTGGTCGCTCCGCATCGGGCCCCTCCCGTTCCAACAAGAAGCGTGTGGCAAAACGCGGACGCTCGGTGAGTTACTTAATTTTCATTCGCCTAACTTTTTTGTTTAGACTGCGTTAGCCCTGCCATATGATGAGTATGATATCATGATCACAGATATAGATGAAAACGAGTTAAAGGAGGTATGCTTTTGTTTTACGAATATTTCTAAACTTTGTAATTATAGATTGGCCAAGAAGAAAAAATCGAGCATTTGGGTCCCGGAACATTCAAGACCCCCCCGTTCCCAGTCAAGGGCAAAATACATGGTGAAAAGTTGCGCTTCATGCTCCCACTCGTTGTTCAACCAGCTGAGAGACGCGGTTCCAAAGTCTTGACCGTATGGTTTGTTCTCGACACGGGCGCTCCAGTTACTTGCCTCGCTTCAAAGACGGTGAAAGCCTTTTTTGACCCAGCAACCGTGCTAAAGGATACCCGCTTCAAAATGGCAATACAGGTTCGTTTTACTTTGGTTTAAGATCATCAATGCTTTCGAAATATTTTAGGACCGAAACAGCTGCATTATGTGTCAAGGCTCACCTGATGCACATAAAGAGGTCAATATTTTGGGTATGGACGCGATGAAAGCTTGGAAAGTCTCGGCGATTGAAAGTCTCGATTGGGATCAAAAAACTTTCCTTCTCTCGGTGTGTTTTCCTTTGCGTTTTTTCGTTTCGTTAACGTTTTTTGGTTTGCTATTTAAATTGTTTGTTTAGAAATCACTTCCTTCTGGTGCGATCAACCAAATGCCCTCAAGCCCTTCGGGATCTCAGGTACGCATTGCGCTTTTTTTTCACTTAATCTTGCAACTTAGAATTCTGGAAGTCTCTCGGATCTTTCTGCAACTTCTCCATCCTCTGCCGGTGGTCAAAGCTCAGTGGTGACATTTGTTTGTATCTTTGTTATGTTATCAGGTTTTTTAGAAGAAGCCTCGCTTGCAATGATGGATGTTTCACAGAATAGCCACCCTATGGGCCTTCTCCACGCAATTCGTGCCAATAAATATATTTCCGGGAGCTGAATAAATATTTGGGGTTAACATTTGCTTATACAAACAATTGGAGTGCTTATCACATTTACTTATAAATTTTGTGCTGGTGACTTGGATAATTCAAGAAACAATGTAAAGTTTACAATGAAATGCATTCCGAGCAATCATATTCTAATGTTTATCTCAAGTTTGGTCTTTTGGCTTTCCGTAGAATTTCAGTGATCCATTGATCTCGCAGTCGAAAAAAGATTCCATTTGGAAAGTTTTGCCTATTTATGAAAGCAAAGGGACTCACTGATATTCCATCAAACCGACGGTCCATTTCGAGTTCAACGGAATGACTTGGCCCTAAATTTTCATTTGTTCTCCAAGAAAAGATCTAAAAAGACAGTGCCACTCACTTCTGGAATCACACAACCGATCATTTGTGTTTCACCGTGGGATTTGCAAGTGAATTGGAAGTGCTTTCGTTGAATCCATTTCTCACCTGAAATCCATCGAATCTCAAAGTGTTTTCTATCTTTCGCCTACCAAATTTGTGTTTTCCGCCCTCGGAATCCGTGCAATCAGCGTTCGCTTTCTTCCCAATACCATTCAAAGTAATTGTACCATTTGGATATTGCTTGCATTCGACAAGAATCCCTCCGGCTAGCTGCAAATTGTGCATTTGAACAATTTCGAGTAAATACTGTATAGCGCTTAAGCATGCGTTTACGAAGGTGCTCCTACCGTAATCCTGATGCCCTTTTGATGCTAGCGCAAGTCTCAACAAGCCTACTTTTCCAGGCTCACCTCAAGCCAGGGTACGGTAGCTTTTCCCCACCTTTTAGACCCCGCTTTACCTCCTTTGTCTCTCCATTAGCGATTCGGATTCCGGTGTTCGTGATGCAACCAACGAATTTTGGCATTCCGCCCTCTTCGCAAAGAAATTCGAAAGACTTATCGATCCAAGTCGAACCTAAACATCGTTTTTGAGGCTTTTTCATTTGAAATCACCTCTCTTTCGTCCACCAGGACAATCGGCATTTTTGCCCATTTCTTGTTTCAACGAAATGTGCCCATCGGCGGTTTGCTGAGACGTGTCTTTTACAAAAAAATTTTGATTTACTCACCTCGCAAGCCCATTCGTGATCTCCAACAGCTTTTCGACCATTCACAGGAACCTAAAGAAATGCAGTTATTGCTTATGGAGTGCTAAGTGCTTCCCCTAGACAAATTACCGTAGTCCATAGCTTTTATCCAATGAATCTACTTTGTCTTATTCTTTCTGTATCTTTCAAAAAATATTAAAAGATAAAAAAGCGGATAGACTACTCACATCAACTCCATCTGGGGTCAAACATCCGATCACTTCTGTCCTCCACGAGCCATTTGATTCGATTACGCACTTCATTTTGAACGCTCCCTTTTCCTCCTGGATTCGATAATCTTTTTCAAGTAAAAATGTTTACCCAAGTCTCATTGTTCACATAGCTGTTCCCTTTGTAACGACACGAGAAAGCACAACAAATTAGAATAGCCAAAATGATCAGTGAACAAGTTCTCATTCTGAAAGATGTTTGGAGGATTGAGCTTTGAAACTTTGATTCAATGAATAGAAAATAGAAAGATAAATAAATAACTCAATTTTGATAAATAATCGAACTTTCAACAGAAAAATTTTGTCATTGCGATTTTTGATTGTGTGAGTGAGTCCGATCAATCGTTTGAGGGACTTTGATTGGGCTTTTTGGTGGATTTGATTTCTTCCCCATCACCACGATCTTTTTGTCTTTTCATTTCTTTTCCATACAAATTCCTGGAGAGTTTATCATTGGAACAAAACAGCTGTCTTCTCATCCCCTTTTTCTGTATCTTTCCGGCGAATCAGGTTTTCTTTTTTTCTTTTCTTGTTGATGGTGCGATTTTGAAATGTGAGAAGAAACAATTTATCTTGGAGATGAGTCAATGATTGGGACTGTGTTCCTTTTAGTTCAAGAGTTCTCTAAAAACTCTACAGTAGCTATCGATAGCATAGGATTACGATAGGATTACGATTTTCCAAAGCATTTTTTAGAAAACAATTTATTAAGAAGAACACAGTTCAATGAAAAACGGTTTCAACATATTTACAGAAGACTTGCATGCACAAGGACTGTATCTCTACAAGTGATCACTGAATTATTTCCAGGAAATTGCATTTGATTTGTCGTAGATGCTGGCATGAAAGAAAGCTTTCCAATCGGTTGATCGGTACTCTGAAATTTGGCTGAATGGGGCTGAATAGGTACAGTATTAAAATTAAAATGAATGCGTTTTAAAAAGCGCATGAATTGACGATTAATCGATCCACTTTAACCGTCGAACTTTAACCGATTAATCGCGCGGAACACACTCTAATTCTCACAAGTGTTTGAAGCAAAAAGTGTTCGATTGACAATCCCGTTTACTGTACTTTCAATCTACCTGTGCAGGATTGTGCAATATTCTATTCAAGATGCGTGTCTCGGCTCGAAGCCTCTCCAATTCGATCCGTAACATCGCGTTTTCTCTGTCCAAACTCGTCGCCCGACTTGCCACTTTGTCTTCCTGAATTATTCGATATTCCAAATGAATAAAACTATTTTTTAAATGTTCGTCTTCAAACCTACAATTAGATTTATCTACTTTATCTAGTAAAGCTGTTCAATTTCGGCTCCTTTATCAATAGGTGGACGAGCAAACGAGTTTCTTTGACCACTTCAACAGTCAAATCTCGTTTCCCGTCGACACATATTGACAATTAGACCGAAAATGTACAGCCAATATGATGAGCTTTTTGAAAAACCCTAGAAACTTTTTCACGAACCTTTATCCTTCGTTGATCTCGACTTCGCTTTGCGGCATCGTTGTTTTTCTTGCGCTTCTCCCAGTAGGACTCGTCCTGAAAATGATCAAATGATGCTAGTGCAAATGATGCTAGATAGATTTATACACTTTCTAGTTTTATGAAGTGATCGGATTTTAGTTTCCCATTTCCCACCTTGACCACTTCCTTTCGCTTTTTCGGAGCCGAACTTCGAACGATGACTCGATTCGGTGAGGTTGATGCTTCGGAACCCTCATTGCTCGACGATGGATTGGATAAAGAGGAAAAAGCGGAAGACGGAGTCTCGGAACCGGACTAAATTCAGTTGTAAGTGGATTTTGATTTTGATTCGTGAATTCACCTTTTCTTGATTGCTATTGTTGTTGAGTTCCTTCGGTATCAAAAGAGAGCCAAGCGATGAGCTGCTGCAACTCTGGAAACTTTACTTTTTGCTAAAAAACGGTAGGAAAACGGTTGGTTGTTCTCGAGAGCATCTTTTAGTCAGTCTAATCAGCTTATTATTAGTTTTACCTGAATACAAGATCCACTGGGTGGTGCAATGATGGAAAGCGGTCGAAGGTGATCGGGTTGGCTATTGAACAGGAAACTTTCTCGAGATTTTAGCAACATTGGTGGCATATTTGGGAATGGATTGGTCAGATGGTGTGAAGAGGAAAGAAGGGGGAATTGGAGGGGAGAAGTTGAGGTCATTGAGGGGATGCCATAACGGGGGTTGAATGGAAACATTGGATCCTGAGATGGGATTGGTTTTGAGGCGAAGAATGTTTGGTATGTTAGCTAATGCAAACTAGCTGGATCTTGAGCTTTAAAGGTTTCAGATCGTCAGAACTACACTATCTTGATGATGAACTGACCTCAGAATGACTCCCTTTAGAACCAAAATTGCTCATCAATTGATTCAAGTAAAAAAGTGAGTTTTAAAGGTGAGTTTTAAAGGTGAATAAGATTGCAAATAGGTCCGAAAACGACCTGGGTTTAGAATGAGTAAAAAGGGAAATTCGTTGGGTGAAAGTGGGTGAAAAGGAATGGAGAATGGGGATGGAGGAGTGGGCATGCACGCCGCGCTTTCGCTGTCCCAATTCCCCACTTTCGCCCCATCAAATGAAATGCACAAAGGGAGAAAAAGAGGAGGAGAAAGTCCAGCACTCACTTTCTCTTGCTCGAAAGTGAATTTTGTGGTTTTTGAGATGATTACACAATTACAGAGTGATTGGTGGAATGTCAGAAAACTGACTATTTCAGACTATTTCCAACGGTTTTCAATTGTGTTTCTATAAAGGAACTACGGTCTCCAAATGCTCTTTGGAACTTTCACAACAAGCTAGACTCTCACTTTTAGTATTTACTTACAATGGTTGTTACAAGAGCCATTTTTCGGTTAAGCCAGCCAGTTCACTGTCAGCACATTTATCATCTGAAGTCAAAGTAAGTCATTGTTCAAATCTTTAGCTGTCAATTTGCTAGCCATGGTTTTTGTCTACCTTTGTCCATACTTTAGGAACCCTGTCTATACCAGGGTTATTCCGCTTGTTAGAATAACCCTTGTTTCTACAGTAATTCCACAGTAACCTTATGACTTACTGGAGCTTTCTCAGAATTTCACAAGTACCAATAGGCCATTAATTGGGATTCAGGTGCACGAGGGTCGATCGGACGAACGGGCAAGCAGTGAGAGTGCGATCGGTGAAAGCGTGTGTCAGCCATCCATCCATGGCCGCTCGCTCTTTCGCTTTTTCGTCAATCTGGGTCAGCCGATTACGCGTTTCAATCTCCTTTTCTCCAATTCGCTTTCCGATTCGAGTGCACCTTTTGATTTTCATCAGGTCTTCGCACCATTGGACGAGGAGCCTCTGGACCAACAGTCCCCACCCACGGCTTGTATGCTTCATTTGTTGACAACCTGACAAAACAAAGCTTAATGAAACCCAAAACCTCTTAAAAAACCATCGAAAGCTCACCATTCTTTGCTCGATTGATTCGCTTCTTCTTCCGTTACTTCCGTTTACCTTGTTCGATCCTTTCTTCAGTTTGTGCAACCTCCATAGCTGACATAGGGATTCTGTTAAACCTAAAACTTATTAGAATCTTGCTTAGAATTTTGTCTAATTACCTGATGAGAACCTTCCCACTTCCCAGTCCCATCGATCGAAGTGTCGTGCACTCAAGTTCTTTCCTTCCTTGATACTAAATCAGATCAATTAATACAAAGAATATTTTATGATTTTAATTCAGTGACAATAAGTATCTTTTTTGCTCTTTGGAGTTCTGAGCGACCCTCTAGCCTCGAAGCACTCAAATGAATAGGCAAAGCCATTTTAAATTCAAGTCTTTATAATTAAAATTCTACAGCAAATGCTGGACAAATTTAGAAATTCTACACCAAATACTGGACAATCTTTGCGTGTGTATCTTCAATTGAAGCGATTGCTGACCTCTTCTACATTACGTCTCTCGTCCCTGGATACGAAGTAATTGTTTGTTCCGTACTCTTTATTTCTCATTTAGATTATAAAGTTAGCTTTCTTGCTTTGGACATCTACAGGCGGCGCTCATTTTGTCTACGATAAGGTTATTTTTGCAATGTTTCTAAGATAGTTTATATTTAGGTGGTCTACCCTTTCTTGAAAAAACACGAGAAACAAATAGATGAAGCTATGAGCAGCACTGGACGACTGGCATTCAGGGCGGCGGGTAGTCTCTTCACAAGTGAGTTTGCTCTTTTTTAATTGTAGCTAAGATTTTTAAATTTTAATTAAGAATAAAAAACTAAGAATTTAATTTTGGAAGCCATGACGACAGCACTTACGTCGATGGCGGCCAAAGGTTCAACTTCTTCCGTTTCCACGTCAATCATCGGGAATCCCGTCGCTCAATTGGTTTCACAGGTGCCAACTCACATGCATCGGCAAGTAATTCGATCGCTGAGCGTTGAAGAAACTTTTGAACAGGTACTTTAAGTAAACTTGGTATACTAGTATGGCATTTAAAAGCGTTTTAGCCTCAAGCCGTCTATTCGGCTCGGGTTGTCGAAGTAGAAGAATTGGATGACGAGGATTGGGAGGAATATATTCCAAAAGAAAAGCACGAAGAAACACGAAGAGTTTGTATTTGTTTACTTTTATTTAAAATTATATTTTAGAGTTTTGTCAGCAGGAGGCCTCAGAAAGCGCCGGAAACGAAGACAACTCCACTTCGTCGATCAAAGCGGCATCAGGTTTGTCTTTCGGGTGATGATTTCAAAAAACATTTTTAGGAAAAGCATAGGGCAAGCATTGCCAGCAAAGGCTCTGGCGATGAAGACGAGGCAAATTCATCGGATCAGGTCTTCAACCTGGTACCTTTTATATCCAATAACATATTTCACGATTAATAAAGCTTAAGTTATAAATAAGATACGCCAGAGAATACATATGATAATTGCTTCTTTAGGGAAGTGATGAATTAGCAACAGACGATGAAGGAGCTTCACGAGCAAAGATGGCACAGTCCAAATCAAAGAGAGGAGGACTGGGAAGGCGTGGAAGGGGCAGAAATGCAACGATGACCTATCGGGGGAACGATTCGACTTAGATACCTCTTGCTCTCTTATGTATTGTGTATTGAGATATAAATATCTTCTCTTATTTACCCAGTATTACAGGGTTGGTACTTTGTGGTTTTTATCGTACAGCTGACTTCAAGTCCTCAGTTAAAATTGTGATGTAAAGATCTTTATTCGTTCTCTTTAATCGAGTGTTATTTTCCATAAATATTATTGTTTCGATCAATGAAAATAGCACATGAAAGGGCAGCAGTTGTGAGAAAAGCCGACTCATTCGAGATATTGAAAAGATTTTTGACGTATCATATTTGAAACTAGATTTAAACCTATATCTTTGAAACATCAAAACACAGATTTCCGATTCCAACAGAGTAGTATATAATATGCATACCTAGGACAACCGAATCAATAAAAAACCCTATATTTTTATCAAAAATGGGGAGTGGGATAAGTGCGACCTTTTTTTTGCGCACCTAGCCCATCAGCGCACCTTTTTTCGCCTTTTAAAAAAGCTCTAAAAAGCTAATATTAACCAATTTCTATTCCAAAACTTGTTTTTCTAGGTAATTTGAGGGTGTAGAATTCAAATTGTCGATTTTTCTCTTTGTATAACTCGGTTCGTTTGTTTCCACAAGCTCTGATATGTCAAAATTTCGATTCTACGCCCTCAAATTACCTAGAAAAACAACTTTTGGAATAGAAATTGGTTAAGATTAGCTTTTAGAGCTTTTTTAAAACGCGAAAAAAGGTGCGCTAATGGGCCAGGTGCGGAAAAAAAGGTGCGCTGATGTCCAGGTGCGCAAAAAAGGTCGCATTTGTCCCACTCCCCAAAAATGTCATATCAAATCAATTTTCGAGACTGTCCTTCCTCCAGACCTGGGACAGCCCAAAATCCCCACCCTCCAAAGCAATTCTCATCCCCCTCCAGACCTGGGACAACCCAAAATTCCACTATCTTTATTGAGTCAATATTTAGGGTTTTGTTTGAGAAAATAGCATAATTTTAGCAATAACTTGGGGGGGGTGGGACAAATGCGACCTTTTTTTGCCAGAAAAGGCCTTAGGAAAGGCCGTAGAGCTTCGAAAATATTTCCATGTAAGGGAATCGTATGCGTACATTCCGAATTTCGACAAATCACACCTCGCTGACGCGTCAAATTTGGGCTAAAAGGCAAAAACTACGCAACTTAACGCGTTTCCGCAACGCAAAAAAGGTCGCATTTGTCCCACCCCCATAATTTTGAATGAATGTCCTAGGACAATTCCAAAACCACATCCACTCCCGCTTAAGCGTTTCTGATAATTCGAATTATTTCTGAATCATTTAATTGATAATTTTGTGGGATAATCTTTTCATTTGATTTTGTATTTAAAAGTTTCTTTCTTTACTTAAAATCTGAATTTGATTTCCAACATAACCACATTCAAAACGTCGCTGATCCCACAACGATTTAGAACGTTTCGCCAAACATAAATAAAACTTCATACATGCAGCTTTTTTCTTTCAGTGCTAATGGGGGTGGGACAAATGCGACCCTTTTTTTGCTGGAAAAGGCCTTAGGCAAGGCCGTAGAGCTTCGAAAATGTTTGCATAGAAGGGAATCGTATGCGTAGATTCCGAATTTCGACAAATCACACCTCGCTGACGCGTCAAATTTGGGCTAAAAGGCAAAAACGGCGTAAAAGCGTTAAGTTGCGTAGTTTTTGCGTTTTAGGTCAAATTTAACGTGTCAGCGAGGTCTGATTTGCTTTGATTTGTCGAAATTCGGAATCTACGCATACGATTCCCTAGTACGGAAACATTTTCGAAGCTCTACGACCTTTCCTAAGGCCTTTTCCAGCAAAAAAAGGTCGCATTTGTCCCACCGCCCTGCTAATTCTCATATTCTTGTTTTCTTTTCATATATATGCATTTTTCCTGGTATACATTCACTGATTTTTAGATTACTTCTCAACAAACGAACATGAGCGATCACAACAAGGTAAACACTTTTTTCACGGCTTGCATGCTGAATTCATTTAATTTTAGCGTTCTTCATCTTCGAGTGGGAAAGATCGTTCGGATCAATTGTTAGCTATGCCATATGATGAGTTTGATATCATGCTCAAGGACATAGATGAAAGAGAGTTGGAGATTGTATGATTTTCTTTTAGGAATATTTCTAAACTTTGTAATTATAGATTGGCGCAGCAGAAGAAATCGAGCATTTGAGTGCCGGAACATTCACTACTCCCGCATTCCCAGTCAGGGGCGTAATTACTGGGCAAAACTTGCGCTTCATGGTCCCGCTAGTTTTTCAACGAGCTGGAAAATCCAATTCCAAAGCCATCAACGTGTGGTGTCTGGTCGATACTGCCTCTCCATTTACTTGCCTCGCTGTTAAGACGTTGGAAGCCTTCTTTGGTGCAGGAAATGTGTCAGAGAGTGTTTACTACCCGATGGCAATCCAGGTTCGTTTTACTTTTGTTTAAGATAATCAATGCTTTCGAAATATTTAGGACCAAAGCAGCCGCATTGACTGTCAAGTCTCCAAAGTTGGTACTCATTTTGAGCACGCCAACATTTTGGGTGTGGATGCGATGCGACGTTTGAAAGTCTGGCCGATTGTTAACTCGAATAATAATACTTTCCGTCTTGCCAAAGAGTAAACTTTTTCGTGTATTGTAAGTATATGATTCAATAAAGTTTTGATTTTTATATGTTAGTTGTCGCATTCAAAGTTGCCAAGATGAGATTGAATGAATCTTATAAAATATAATTTTGAAAGTTAGACTATTATCTTAAACTAATCTAGAATTATTAGCTTTAAATCTTATAGTGCCCATGAGCTAATGTGTTGATTTTATTGCTACAAATATATCTTTTAATATCTATCTATCTTTTGCTTGAATCAAGAATTGCTCTTTTCGAGTAACTATTATTCATCGGATCAGGTCTTCAACCTGGTACCTTTTATATCCAATAACGATTAATGAAGCTGAAGTTATAAATAAGATACGCCAGAGAATACATATGATAATTGCTTCTTTAGGGAAGTGATGTACTAGGTTGGTGCAAATGAAATTTCGTTTTTTTACAAACATTAAAGTCATCCAAAATTTTTTTAGATAGCAATTTATTTAAAACAACAAGCACCATTATTATCTATGACATCCCTCCAACGTTGCTACAGATTGCGGATCCCCTTCTCAAAGAACGCTTGATTCTGTGATGCAAAGTAGTTGGTCACCCAATTTTCGACTTCTTTTGCATTCTTAAACTGGCAATTCTCAAGGGAATGTTGCATCGATCTGAAAAGGTGAAAATCGGAGGGTGCTAAGTCTGGACTATACGGCGCATGTGGTAAGACCTTCCATCCTAGCTTCTCTAGTTCCTTACAAGAGGTTTTTGCCGTGTGAGCTGGAGCATTATCACGGAGAAAGTTGATAGTTGAGGGATTTAGGCCTTTTTCACGCAAAATTTCGTCAACCTTCTTGAGTTGTTGAATAAAATAAGATGAATCGACTGTTTTTCCGGGCTCTAATAATTCAAAATGAACAAGTCCATTGATATTCCGCCAGCAAGACAACATCACTTTGCGCCCATGATAATCCGGCTTTGGAGTTGGAATTGGCGCTTGACCTTTGCTCAGCCATTGTCTTTTTCGAGAAGTATTATCAAAGTGAATCCACTTCTCATCCATCGTCAAGATATTCTCAAAAAAATGGCTTCTTTTCGACTTATGGAGCAAGATATGGCTGATCGAAACGCGTGCTCCCAGATTTTCAACACTCAATTGATGTGGAACCCATTGTCCATTACGATTTGTCTTTCCAATTATTTCCAAATGGCGTACAATTGTTGAATGATCACATTGAGATGTTTGGCAAGTTCTCGTGTTGTTTGCATTGGATCAGCTTCAATTAATTGTTCCAATTCATTGTTGTCGATGGCTGTGGCACGATGTCCATGCGATTCGTCTTCAAGGGATTCATTACCATCTCGGAATTGGGCAAACCAGAGCTGGCATGATCTTTCGGTGATAACCTGTTCTCCAAAGGCGGAACAGAGATCACGATGTGAATCAGCAGCGTTTTTGCCCATTTTGAAGTCATAGAGAAGACACGTGCGCAGAACATACTTTTGATCCACCATGATCTAAAGCAAAAATCAATTAAAAAGTGAAAGCTCTGACTTTGAAAAAATGCGAAAATAAAGTAAATATCCAAGAGTACAAATGCACAAAAGAACATCAAATAAGCTCTTCAGATTAAAAAATAAGAACATTTTATATCGACCGAAATTTCTTTTGCACCAACCTAATATTAGCAACAGACGACGAAGGAGCTTCACGAGCAAAGATGGCACAGTCCAAATCAAAGAGAGGAGGACTGGGAAGGCGTGGAAGGGGCAGAAATGCAACCATGACCTATCGGGGGAACGATTCAACTTAAATACCTCTTGGTCTCTTATGTATTGTTAGATATAAATATCTTCTCTTATTTACCCAGTATTACAGGGTTGGTACTTTGTGGTTTTTATCGTACAACTGACTTCAAGTCCTCGGTTAAAATTGTGATGTAAAGATCTTTATTCCTTCTCTTTAATCGAGTGTTATTTTCCATAAATATTATTGTTTCGATCAATGAAAATAGCACATGAAAGGGCAGCAGTTGTATACAAACAATTGGAGTGCTTATCACATTTACTTATAAATTTTGTGCTGGTGACTTGGATAATTCAAGAAACAATGTAAAGTTTACAATGAAATGCATTCCGAGCAATCATATTCTAATGTTTATCTCAAGTTTTGTCTTTTGGCTTTCCGTAGAATTTCAGTGATCCATTGATCTCGCAGTTAAAAAAAGATTCCATTTGGAAAGTTTTATCTATTTATGAAAGCAAAGGGACTCACTGATATTCCATGAAACCACCTCCCCGTGTTGAGCAGTGGGTACCCCTGAAAGCAGGGGATGGCTAAGCGCTGGCCTAGGTAACAGACTCGAAGAGTAGGTAGTAGGGTGAAACCGATAAGTACCTAGCTTTGATTTTTGTTTTTGCCTTTTTTTGATTGATTTGCTTGTAGATGCTTGTTTGTCTTTGTTCAGCGTAAAAAGTTACTCAATGAAATTATTCTTTTATAAATGGGCTTTTTTCAAAGTTCATAGAATTTCCTAGAACTTTTATTCAATCAGCAACATCGAATCTAGGGGGAAATTCTGAGGAAAAATGCAGAATAGTCACTCGGGAAAACACGAAAAATGCACCAGAATCTCAAGGAAATGTTTTTCAAGTTTACAAATTAAAAATACCTTGCTTTAGAAATAAGAACCCGATAAAATTTCGTTTTTTTTGTGGATTTCGAGAGGTGAAAAGAAAGGGAAATTGGCGTGTTTCAAAAAAATGAAAAATAATTTTGAAATGAAAATTTTAATGAGGAAAACAATGCGTGAAAATTGACAATTTTTCTACCCAACTTTTTTTCGTTCTGAAAATATTTAGGGGAGTATAGGGTTCGATTACAGTACACCTAAATCTTTCACTCACTACAGTAAACCCGGGATAAAACTAGAGCATATTTTTAGAATACTGTAGTAAGAAACTAGAGCTTTACAGTACCCCTAAAAGAACTATTTAGCATTACTAACAAAGATTACTACAAATGTTTCAAAAGATCGGATAATTTCTCAAAATAACAATAAAGAGATCGAGAAAATGGCAAATAAAAAAAACAACAAATTGAAACTAAAGCTTTTGAAAAGAAAGTCTTGAAATCTTTTCAAACTCAAATTCGATGGACAATCTGTGGATTATTTACCCATTGTTTAGGGATTTGCAGGGGATTTTGAGGGAAACGATGATGGGGAAGCGATTGGATATTTTGGGGATTTACGGTAGTCTGATGGAGTGGCCAATTCGATTGATTTTGCTGAGAATTCGCTGAGAAATGGGATAACCCATTGAAGAACATTGGCGCACCGTTTTGTGCTGGGAAAACACCTGAAAATTTGGAGATCGCAATTTTGGATTTTTCACTTATTTATAAGCTTTGGTTTTCATTTTCTGCCCGAGTTTATATCAAAAGTAAGAAAAGATGACTCGAAACGGTTAAAATAGAGACATTTAGCTTTCAAGGCTTATGCAAATCATTGTTTCAAAATGCTCAACTCTTAAGTGGTCTTAAAAGTCTTTGGTCACTTACCAGTAATCTGGTCCTCACCATTTTCTACCAGTAATCTGGTACTCACCATTTTGTGAATTCCTTGACGGTGACGGGAGAATTTGCGGTGATTGCGGGACAAAATGATGAGAGGAATTGGAGGGCTGAGATGGAAAAACGGATGAGGAAGATGAAGATGAAGATGAAGATGAAGAGGGGATTGATGGGAGGGAAGATGGAGATGCAGTCGGAGGTGATGGGTAGAAGACACGTTTCGAGGAGGGACCGTCAGCTGAAATCGAATCAGATCGAATTCAGCAATACTCAATTGAATAGAGTCATTTTTTGTTCAAAGTTTCAAAGTGGACAAAGAGATTGCTGAGAATTGCTTGAATCATACGATTCATTGAAAGAAAACTGACCATTTTGATTCGCATCCTCATCCACTCCATCTTCATCAACTTTTGCCATTCTTCCAGCTGAGGCGACTGGTTCGGTTGGTGTCCAATCGGGCAAATCGGGGAAAAGCGTTTGGAAATCTTTGGCCACTGATTCGGAGATTGGTTGCAGCTCTTCTTGGGGCACGAATGGAGCGACACTGTGGAGATCTTCGAAGGGAAAATCTGCAATTATCAAATTGAAAGTTGCATTTGGTCTACTGTAATAGGGCTTCGCTTATCTCAAAGTCCGTCAAAATCGAAAACTCACCTAGATCCGCAAGGGCTTTATTGACGGCATCGGCTCTTTCTTGGAGAATTGCTTCTTTCCGTTGATCACCATTGATGAGTTGCTGGTGATTTGCGGAAGTGGTGGGGATCGTTTGATGAAGAGGAGTGGAAGGAGACAGAGCGGGGAACATGGACCCCCGCGAGTGAGGGGCGAGCAGTGGGTGAGTGCCTGCAATTTCAGTTTTCATTTGTATTATCGATTTTTTTGATTTAAAATGCAAATTAGCCGATCAAAATCAGTAAAATCCGATCGAATTCGATAGAATTTCGATCAAATAACAACTCTAGTACATAGAGCTAGGCTTTGACATCAAATGCATTCAGGGCTGGTCCTAGAGCCAATTTCCAAGGCTAATCTCAACCTAAGCAAAGCAATTTCTGTGCTGATTGACCTGTCCAAAGTCCAGATCAAAAGATCATGGACATGACTTTAATTTGATCACTTGAAATTCCTCAAAAATTCTTCAAACCATTTGATGAAACGGCGGGAAGACCTCGTGGGCGGTGTGCGGTTGCATCAATTCCATTGGATCCGCCACCAATTGATCTTCCCATTTGGAATTGGTTGTCTCCCTGAAAACGGTATTAGAAGCATAATAGATAGATCAAATATTAGTAGTATTGCTCTCTTTTATCATTTACCATAATTCTCGTGTGTTGAGGGGAGAGGGGATCGATTGGAGACCGCAAAGCACAATCGGCAAGACCTTCGGCCAATGGGGAGTAGCCCGAGTGAGAGGGTTGGGCTGAGCCTAGAAAGAAAGAGTTCAAACAACAAAGTGTTCATTTGCTAACTTGAAACAGTTCTCTAGTAATTACAAAGCAAAGAATTGCAAGCAAATCAATTGCAAATCTTGCTTCTCATTTTTAAATAAAGTCATCTTTGAAGGCATTAAAAGCTTTGAGCTGACCCCTTGATACTCCAGTTGGTGATTCCTTTGTGTTTGATTCTCTAGTTGTTGATGAGCCTCCAAATGAGTCGGTTCTAGGCCGGATTGCGGTGATTGGAGCGGGGACGGAATGGGGGCCAGAAGGTGAGGGGTAGTCGACTTCGTGACGACTTCGCTTTGATGCCGGTCCTGCAAGTGATCTAGTTTGATTAGTTAGAACACTTATCGTTATCACAATACAGCTTTTAAGCTATAGAATTCGAGGTATAAATTTGAGTTTGCATTCACTGACCGGAGCTCGTTGCGAATGAATGGTGGCCAGGGGAAAGCGTTGCCCCGCCGTCGTGTCCTTCTGAAAAGAAAAGGTATGGCTCATTTGTCATGGCTAATTTATCCTCCTCTTTTCCGACATTTCCTATCTTACATCTAACTCCGCAGCTTAATGGATTACGGTAGAGTTGGATGTACGATTCTCATTCTCTTCCCCATTCTCTTCCCCATTCTCTTCCCCATTCTCTTCCCCATTCTCACCTCTATATCGCGGAGCCGGACTGCTCGGACGATCTCGAAATAGCCATTGAAGCACCGCATCGTAGCTTGTCTTCCGCGATTCTAGAAACACAAAAATATTTCTCTAATCAATACAGTAATAACCCATTACCAGCTACAGTAACCTGTTATTACTTTACAAAAAAAACGACAGAACAACTTTTCAAAACCTTTTACAATTTCTATTGGGCACTGGACAAGCGGGCGTTGTTTTTCGAAAAGCTTAAGGGGAAATCTCTGCGATCAGACTGGACACACAAAATAGCTACTACATAAACGATTTAAAAAGATAAATACTTCTAAATCTTTCTAAATCTTTCTAAATCTTTCTAAGTTTTGAAGCTTTGGTGGGAGAGTTGAGCATCATCGAAACGAGGCAAAAAAAGCACAAAAAAGTTCGGAAAAAAATTTCCCGTCCACCTGTCTCAACATCTCCAAATCCTCGATTTGATTGTCGATTTTTGAAATTTTCCATTCGAAATCTTTTGAAACATTCGAATTCTCGAAATTTCGATATTTGAATGGAGAAGTCTCATCAAAATTGAGCTCATCATCGCTCTCCTCACATTCACAAATGCAATCGGTTTCAAAATTTCCCGAATTTTTCGCATTTCTTGAAACCTTTCCCTCAAAATGCTCAACAATCGTCGGAATCTCTTCAATTTTCAAATCGAAATCATCAATCAATTGGATTTTCACCGGGAAAACCTTTCCATTGTTCAACTTTTTACGCTTTCTATCTGGACACAAACCCTCCCCAATATTGCAACAATCAACCGAACTCTTCGAATTCTTCAAATTTTCCGATTTCTTTCGTTTCCATGAACTTTTCAGCTGAATTCCTTCAGCATCCTTTTCCCCTTCCTCAACATTCATCTGAGAATCCTTCTCCGCAATCATTTCTTTTGGATAAGTGATTGTTGGCTCAGCTCTTGTCCATTCTTGACTCAACAATGAGAATTTCAATGTTTCATCGAAATCGCTTGAGAAGAGACCGATCAGTTGACAATCCTCCTCAAGACGGAAATCCTGGGGACTCGTTCGACCATTTCCTTCTCTTCCTTCTCTTCTTTCTCTTCCTTCTCTTCCATCTCTTCCATCTCTTCTTTCTCTCCCTTCTCTTCTTTCTCTTCCCTCATTTTCTTGAACGCTCTCTTCTCGATTTTTCTCTTCTTCATCTACATTCATTCTTATGATGACCTAATTGCTTAATCATTTCTGCATTAAAGGAAATTCAGCATGCTACTTGGAGTACAGTATTCTTAACTAGTAAGCCTAGCCATTAGCTGCCAAATCAATATGTAGAAAGAGGAAAAAGCTAGCATTGTAAGCTAATAAATATCATATCTATGCTAATAAATAATCAGTACTATTAAAATTGGGGGAGCACACTTTTTTCAGAAATCTTCTGATATTCTTAGGTTTTCAAGTACACTGAGCACAAATATCACATTTTTAAGCTTTCAGGAATCAAAAAGTCGAAGTTTTTATTGAAAACCAAGCTTAAAAATGTGATATTCGTGCTCAGCCTACTTGAAACTTAAGAATAGTAGAAAATTTCGGAAAAAAAGTGTTGTCCTCCAACTTTAATGGTACCAATTTTTGTATAAAAGCCAAAATTCGAACCAGGTGACAGATTCCTCGTCGCTCGTCCATTATTTTGCGTGATTTGCGACGGAGAACCGATCATGATCTCATCGGATGGAGCGACGAGTGGAGTGAAATCGAAACACTCCAAAATGGCCGGCTGTCGGCCAACCAATTCTAAAAAAAACAAATTTGTTCATAATAAAGTCTTTTATTCTGTGTTTTTTACTCCAGTAAGGCCATGGCATTAAGTTCGTTCATTCATCCTTTTACTGTCAAAAAGAAGTCGTTTACTTTGATTTTTACAGTGAAAAGAAAAGATTTCTGTGTAATAAACAAATTGAAAATACTATAAGATACCGAAATTATCCTTTTAACTTATATGTTTCATTATTGTCGTCTAGAAGTTGTGCTCCACTTTTTTGGTTTACTTGCTGATTTGTGCGCTGCTGTTTTAAGCGTTAGATAGATTTAGATAGATAGAATAGCTAGAATAGCTTTTAACAACTTGTGGAAGGGTTTTTTAATCTTTTCTCGCTTTATTTTTACTAGTTATACATTTAGTAGTTTAAAACAAGTGAATGGTAACTGAGCATGAATTTTCTCTGCATAAAGGCATGAAGGAATGAATTTTACTAGTTTCCCTGTGCAACAAACCTTTGCCAACAATATCCTCTCCTTCTTGACAATCCACTTCAGCTTTTATCGTCTTCAGCACGGGCATTCCAGCCGGTTGAGACTCTGAACATATCACCAAACTCTCGCTTTCGCCTTGAATTCTGAAAAATGAATTGTGTTTGTGCCTTTGTGCTTTGGAAAGCTTGCACTTACCCCAATACATAGTGAATACAGATGACATATTGTCCCTTTTGTCCTCGAGTTGTGTGGTTGATCGTTATAGCTTCTGAAAAATGATGATAAAACAAATGATCTTTCAATCTTCATAAAACTAGTTATTTGCCTTAAGTTAGTTTTCAAGATATGATAGACTCATTTCTATAGTTGAATTCTAAATGATTTCCAAGCAATACTAGCAATCCAAGCTTGGGTAATGCTTCTTGAAATCTCCCACCAGTCATCACCCATGCAAGGTTATTGTTCGCTGCAACGAGGCGATAGAATGGAGTCCGCACACGTCCCTTTTGAAAGAGTTCGCGAATTGATTCATCGAAGAGAGTAAAGCATCAATGGCACTTTGTCGAATCTCCATCCACTTTTTTGCCAAAAGAGAAAATTTTTCATTTAGATTCTGCACTTTTATGCTCCTACAGGCTCGCTCCAGTTCTTCCCACAAATGTTCAGTAGGATCCAAGTCTGGACTTTGACTTGGCCACTCCATAACATTGATTTTCTTTCGTTGAAACCATTCTCGTATGAGACGCGCTTTATGTTTGGGATCATTATCCTGTTGATATATGAAATTTTGTCTAAACTTTTGCTGTACGAATGGTAGCATATGCGATTCGAGAATGTCCAAGTGGACTTGTTGATTCATAATACCTTCTATGCGTTTCAATGGTATGATTCTGGTTGAACAGAAGCCGCCCCGTACAATGACAGAACCACCTCCGTGTTTTACCGTTGGAATCAAGTAGCGAGTAACAAATTTTTTTGTTTCTTGGGCGTCTAACATACGCAATTCCATCAGATCCAAATAGATTAAATTTACTTTCATCCGAGAAAAGGCATTTAGACCAATCCGGTAGAGTCCATCCAACGTGCTCTTTAGCAAATTGGAGTCGAAGCTTTCGGTTGTTTGGTGAAATCAAGGGCTTGTGAGCCGGGCGTCTACCAAACAAGTTAGCGGCTTGCAAACGTCTTTGCACCGTTCTGTAACCTATTGATTCTTTTACTCGTTGAGGCAATTCCTTGTGGATATTGATTGCAGTTCTTTCGTGGATCCTGTTTTGACAGCGTAACGATTCGCCTACCATCTCTACCACTGGTTTCCTTGATCCTGCCAGTATGTTTATAAGCATCTGTCGACCCCGTTTGCCTCTTCCTCTTTAAAATTCTCGATACCATACTGTTCCAAATGTTGGTTCCAAATGCTACGCTGATTTGGTTTTGTCTGAACTTCAAGCCCTTCATCCTCAAAAAGTCATTTCTTTTGATAGTTGAAGTATCCTTGTTTCTACCCTTGTCTAATTATTTTGTGTTAAACTAAATATTAAACAAAGAAAGAAAAAAGAGAACTTTGAAAAATATTAGCAGCTCACCGCTAAATAGGCTATAATTATGTCGTCCAGCTTTACACTAAAATTCTTGAAAAATCTTATAGACAGAATCTGAGGATTTTTTAGATGGTAAAATACTAATTTTAGAAGATTTTCTACGTTCAGCGCAAATTTTGGCCCGATAGCTTAAATTAGAAAAAAGTTTTGGTAAAAACAAAAAATATGCTAAAATTATGTCCGCTACTGTATTTATAAGATGCTTTCAAGGGACCAAAAATTGACGTCGTTAAATTGAGGTTTGACTGTATTTGAATTAGTTTTGCCTGAATTTCTTTCCATTTCATTCTATTTCTATTTACAAGTTGTCTGATTCAGGATGGTCTTCTCGTTTTTGTGCAAAGTGGGGTCGATAATCGTCGGCACGCTCTTTCCCTGCTTCAATACCTACAAAGCGGCGAAACGGCGAGATGGGCCAGTGCAGGTATGATTTGGGCTTATAGCTTTCAAAGTGATCTAGCTTGATTTTAATTCAGTAACAATAAGTATCTTTTTTGCTCTTTGGAGTTCTGAGCGACCCTCTAGCCTCGAAGCACTCAAATGAATAGGCAAAGCCATTTTCAATTCAAGTCTTTATAATTCAAAAATTCCACAGCAAATGCTGGACAAATTTAGAAATTCTACACCAAATACTGGACAATCTTTGCGTGTGTATCTTCAATTGAAGCGATTGCTGACCTCTTCTACATTACGTCTCTCGTCCCTGGATACGAAGTAATTGTTTGTTCCGTACTCTTTATTTCTCATTTAGATTATAAAGTTAGCTTTCTTGTTTTGGACATCTACAGGCGGCGCTCATTTTGTCTACGATAAGGTTATTTTTGCAATGTTTCTAAGATAGTTTATATTTAGGTGGTCTACCCTTTCTTGAAAAAACACGAGAAACAAATAGATGAAGCTATGAGCAGCACTGGACGACTGGCATTCAGGGCGGCGGGTAGTCTCTTCACAAGTGAGTTTGCTCTTTTTTAATTGTAGCTAAGTTTTTTAAATTTTAATTAAGAATAAAAACCTAAGAATTTAATTTTGGAAGCCATGACGACAGCACTTACGTCGATGGCGGCCAAAGGCTCAACTTCTTCCGTTTCCACGTCAATCATCGGGAATCCCGTCGCTCAATTGGTTTCACAGGTGCCAACTCACATGCATCGGCAAGTAATTCGATCGCTGAGCGTTGAAGAAACTTTTGAACAGGTACTTTAAGTAAACTTGGTATACTAGTATGGCATTTAAAAGCGTTTTAGCCTCAAGCCGTCTATTCGGCTCGGGTTGTCGAAGTAGAAGAATTGGATGACGAGGATTGGGAGGAATATATTCCAAAAGAAAAGCACGAAGAAACACGAAGAGTTTGTATTTGTTTACTTTTATTTAAAATTATATTTTAGAGTTTTGTCAGCAGGAGGCCTCAGAAAGCGCCGGAAACGAAGACAACTCCACTTCGTCGATCAAAGCGGCATCAGGTTTGTCTTTCGGGTGATGATTTCAAAAAACATTTTTAGGAAAAGCATAGGGCAAGCATTGCCAGCAAAGACTCTGGCGATGAAGACGAGGCAAATTCATCGGATCAGGTCTTCAACCTGGTACCTTTTATATCCAATAACATATTTCACGATTAATAAATCTTAAGTTATAAATAAGATACGCCAGAGAATACATATGATAATTGCTTCTTTAGGGAAGTGATGAATTAGCAACAGGCGATGAAGGGGCTTCACGAGGAAAGATCAAATCAAAGAGAGGAGGACTGGGAAGGCGTGGAAGGGGCAGAAATGCAACGATGACCTATCGGGGGAACGATTCAACTTAAATACCTCTTGCTCTCTTATGTATTGTTAGATATAAATATCTGCTCTTATTTATCCAGTATTACAGGTACTTTGTGGTTTTTATCGTACAGCTGACTTCAAGTCCTCAGTTAAAATTGTGATGTAAAGATCTTTATTCGTTCTCTTTAATCGAGTGTTATTTTCCATAAATATTATTGTTTCGATCAATGAAAATACCACATGAAAGGGCAGCAGTTGTGAGAAAAGCCGACTCATTCGAGATATTGAAAAGATTTTTGACGTATCATATTTGAAACTAGATTTAAACCTATATCTTTGAAACATCAAAACACAGATTTCCGATTCCAACAGAGTAGTATATAATATGCGTACCTAGGACAGCCGATTTCCCCCCATTGTTGATTTTTCTCTTTGTTTAACTCGGTTCGTTTGTTTCCACAAGATCTGATATGTCAAAATGTCGATTCTACGCCGTAGAATTATCTAGAAAAACAACTTTTGGAATAGAAATTGGTTAATATTAGCTTTTTAGGGCTTTTTTAAAACGCGAAAAAAGGTGCGCTAATGGGCCAGGTGCGCTGAAGTCCAGGTGCGCAAAAAAAGGTCGCATTTGTTCCACTCCCCAAAAATGTCATATCAAATCAATTTTCGAGACTGTCCTTCCTCCAGACCTGGGACAGCCCAAAATCCCCACCCTCCAAAGCAATTCTCATCCCCCTCCAGACCTGGGACAACCCAAAATTCCACTATCTTTATTGAGTCAATATTTAGGGTTTTGTTTGAGAAAATAGCATAATTTTAGCAATAACTTGAGGGGGGTGGGACAAATGCGACCTTTTTTTGCCAGAAAAGGCCTTAGGAAAGGCCGTAGAGCTTCAAAAATGTTTCCATGTAAGGGAATCGTATGCGTACATTTCGAATTTCGACAAATCAGACCTCGCTGACACGTCAAATTTGGGCTAAAAGGCAAAAACTACGCAACTTAACGCTTTTCCGCAGTCGTTTCCGCAACGCAAAAAAGGTCGCATTTGTCCAGGTGCGCAAAAAAAGGTCGCATTTGTCCCACCCCCATAATTTTGAATGAATGTCCTAGGGCAATTCCAAAACCACATCCACTCCCCCTTAAGCGTTTCTGATAATTCGAATTATTTCTGAATCATTTAATTAATAATTTTGTGGGATAATCTTTTCATTTGATTTTGTATTTAAAAGTTTCTTTCTTTACTTAAAATCTGAATTTGATTTCCAACATAACCACATTCAAAACGTCGCTGATCCCACAACGATTTAGAACGTTTCGCCAAACATAAATAAAACTTCATACATGCAGCTTTTTTCTTTCAGTGCTAATGGGGGTGGGACAAATGCGACCTTTTTTTGCGCACCTGGACATTTGCGCACCTTTTTTTTGCTGGAAAAGGCCTTAGGAAAGGTCGTAGAGCTTCAAAAATGTTTTCATAGAAGGTAATCGTATGCGTAGATTCCGAATTTCTACAAATCACACCTCGCTGACACGTCAAATTTGGGCTAAAAGGCAAAAACTGCGGAAAAGCGTTAAGTTGCGTAGTTTTTGCCTTTTAGCCCAAATTTGGCGTGTCAGCGAGGTCTGATTTGCTTTGATTTGTCGAAATTCGGAATCTACGCATACGATTCCCTAGTACGGAAACATTTTCGAAGCTCTACGACCTTTCCTAAGGCCTTTTCCAGCAAAAAAAAGGTCGCATTTGTCCCACCCCCCTACTAATTCTCATATTCTTGTTTTCTTTTCATATATATGCATTTTTCCTTGTATATGTCGTAGCCGACTATGAATGAGTGGGTCTAGGAGCGTCCAACCATCAAGTATTTGGTATCATTCAACGCAGAATCATTGATAATTATGTTAAATTTTTTTATGAAAAGGCCTTAGGAAAGGTCGTAGAGCTTCAAAAATGTTTTCATAGAAGGGAATCGTATGCGTACATTTCGAATTTCGACAAATCACACCTCGCTGACGCGTCAAATTTGGGCTAAAAGGCATACGATTCCCTAGTATGGAAACATTTTCGAAGCTCTACGACCTTTCCTAAGGCCTTTTCCAGCAAAAAAAGGTCGCATTTGTCCCACCCCCCTGCTAATTCTCATATTCTTGTTTTCTTTTCATATATATGCATTTTTCCTTGTATATGTCGTAGCCGATTATGAATTTTCACTGCTTGCATGCTGAATTCATTTAATTTTAGCGTTCTTCATCTTCGAGTGGGAAAGATCCTTTGATCATGCCAATGGACATGCCATATGATAAATCTTTGCGATATGATGAGTTTGATATCATGCTCAAGGACATAAATGAAGAAGCGTTGGAGAAGGTATGCTTTTCTTTTAGAAATATTTCTAAACTTTGTAATTATAGATTGGCGCAGCAGAAGGAATCGAGCATTTGAGTGCCGGAACATTCACTACTCCCGCGTTCCCAGTCAAGGGCGTAATATATGGTCCAAACTCGCGCTTCATGGTCCCGCTAGTTTTTCGCCTGAAAAGACTTTCAGCGGAAAAATCCAATTCCAAAGCCATCAACGTGTGGTGTCTGCTCGGTACTGGCTCTCCGTTTACTTGCCTTACTGTTAAGACGTTGGAAGCCTTCTTTGGTGCAGGAAATGTGTCAGAGAGTGGTTACTACTCGATGGCAATCCAGGTTCGTTTTACTTTTGTTTAAGATAATCAATGCTTTCGAAATATTTAGGACCCAAACTACCGCTTTGATTGTCGAGTCTCCAAAGTTGGTACTCATTTTGAACACGTCAACATTTTGGGTGCGGAAACGATGCAACGTTTGAAAGTCTCGCCGATTGTTAACTGGGATAATAATACTTTCCGTCTTGCCAAAGAGTAAACTTTTTCGTGTATTGCAAGTATATGATTCAATAAAGTTAAGCTTTTTATATGTTAGTTGTCGCATTTAACATTGCCAAGATGAGATTGAATGAATTTTATAAAATATAATTTTGAAAGTTAGACTATTATCTTAAACTAATCTAGGATTATTAGCTTTAAATCTTATAGTGTCCATGAGCCAATGTGTTAATTTTATTGCTACAAATATACCTTTTAAACTCTTCTTTATCATCTTCATTCAATGCAACTTTGTTTTGTTTTAAAGTATAAATCTGGCGCTTTTTTGCTTGAATCAAGAATTGCTCTTTTCGAGTAACTATTATTCATCGGATCAGGTCTTCAACCTGGTACTTTTTATATCCAATAACGATTAATGAAGCTTAAGTTATAAATAAGATACGCCAGAGAATACATATGATATTGCTTCTTTAGGGAAGTGATGTATTAGCAACAGACGATGAAGGGGCTTCACGAGCAAAGATCGCACAGTCCAAATCAAAGAGAGGAGGACTGGGAAGGCGTGGAAGGGGCAGAAATGCAACCATGACCTATCGGGGGAACGATTCGACTTAGATACCTTAGACTACGGGTTGTCGAAGTAGAAGAATTGGATGACGAGGATTGGGAGGAATATATTCCAAAAGAAAAGCACGAAGAAACACGAAGAGTTTGTATTTGTTTACTTTTATTTAAAATATAATTTTAGAGCTTTGTCAGCAGGAGGCCTCAGAAAGCGCCGGAAACGAAGACAACTCCACTTCGTCGATCGAAGCGGGCAGCAGGTTTGTCTTTCGGGTGATGATTTCAAAAAACATTTTTAGGAAAAGCATAGGGCAAGCATTGCCAGCAAAGACTCTGGCGATGAAGACGAGGCAAATTCATCGGATCAGGTCTTCAACCTGGTACCTTTTATATCCAATAACATATTTCACGATTAATAAAGCTTAAGTTATAAATAAGATACGCCAGAGAATACATATGATAATTGCTTCTTTAGGGAAGTGATGAATTAGCAACAGGCGATGAAGGGACTTCACGAGGAAAGATCAAATCAAAGAGAGGAGGACTGGGAAGGCGTGGAAGGGGCAGAAATGCAACGATGACGTATCGGGGGAACGATTCAACTTAAATACCTCTTGCTCTCTTATGTATTGTTAGATATAAATATCTGCTCTTATTTATCCAGTATTACAGGTACTTTGTGGTTTTTATCGTACGACTGACTTCAAGTCCTCAGTTAAAATTGTGATGTGAAGATCTTTATTCGTTCTCTTTAATCGAGTGTTATTTCCCATAAATATTATTGTTTCGATCAATGAAAATAGCACATGAAAGGGCAGCAGTTGTGAGAAAAGCCGAGTCATTCGAGATATTGAAAAGATTGTTGTTCGTCTTGGCAGCAATTTAACTTGGATTTCAAATACAAATTCTCAAACTCAAGAGTCGTACATATTGAGTTTCCGAATCGCCACCTCCCGAGTTGTCATAAGCCAGCAAACTAACAAAGCTGCTGTTCTGGACTCTTTTCATTCCCTCTGTTTGTTTGTTCGGGGAATGAATGTGTTTGTTCCCCCGGGCAGGTCAACGCCCTTGTGTGATCAATTCGCGAGAGAATGTTTCAAAGGAAAAAGTCGATACTGCCAACTTGTTTTCCCCACCAATCATCTTGTTTTTCCGCTTTTTGAATGGATGTATGTGTGGGAGTGAGTCCAATTCTCGATAGATGAGGGTTTTTGTGTGTCGTTGGTCCCTCTCTTCAGTCGGTCAAGGGTCGAATGTTCTTTTTCTTTTCTTTTCACGCTTTCACATTTCCCTTCTTGGGCGGTCGAAGGGAGAGGGAGCCAGCCAGCGACGACAGCAGAAATTTTTTTCTTTTCAGCTACTTTTTCCTTTTTTCATTCTCTGTGAGTTGTGCCGTTTCTCCCTTTTTCTCAATGAGGACGAGAGGGGAAAAGGGGATGGGCATCGATCCGATCTCTCTTCTCTCTGCCTGTGTCTCCCATTTTTCCATTTCTCTCAACTCTCACCTCATTTACCTTAGCATTCTTTTCTCTCTCTCTCTTTTCAGATGTTTCCACATGTTCTGCCTCTTTTCGAGAGAAACTCTTCTCATTCAACGTTTTTTACGCCCGTTTTCTGTTCTTTTTCATTGATAGGCAGTTCCCCTCTCGTGATTGTTACTGGGTTGATTGCTTGATTAGCGTGGGTTTTCCGGATAATACTATGTACAAGCTAGTCATAGCTAACGTCTAATCCTTCCTAAGTGGTTCGTCTAATCCTTCCTAAGTTGTTATCGCTTTACTTGTTACATCGAAAGTTGTTCTTCTCGTTTTGAGTACTGTATGGTACGGTGTTGAATCGTAGATTTATGTCGTGTGTAAAGTAATGTCAATCTTTCGTCATTCAGTGTTTCTTTGCCTTGTAAAGAAAGCGATTACATGAATGAATTCCAGCGTATGAATTCCGTTAGCTTTCATTATAATACTAAAGCGAGTCGGATGCAAATTTTAGTATGAAAACGGTGCAAATCTTCATCCCTTTCCCCAAGAATTCTAATGCCAGCTCACTGTTTTGTGATTCTCGAATTTTCAACGTCAATCACTTGAAAAACGGTCCCACTCGGCCTATCAGCTATTTTTTGGCGCATTGTATTCTGGGATGGATTTTTCTCACTCTTCTTCTTTCGTTCTCCCCATTTTCTCAATCTTCACCATTTCTCCATCTTTTATATTCCCCACTCTCCCAATCGTAGCTTCACACAGTGTTGGGGTTCTGTTATCGCTTATCAGAACTCTTTCCCATTGAGAATGCCTTCTTCAAAACCAACCATTTGAAAAGCCTTTGCTTTTCGACAAATTCTTACCCTTTCCCCCTCTTTTGTCTTTTGTTTATGAGCGCATTTTTTCGGAGGGGAGAAGTCGAAGGACTGCACAAAGACGAGTTCGATCTCCTTTTTTGCCTTTCTTTTATTTTTCTCTCACTCGATCCTCTTGATTTCCCACAAAATCCCTATTCGATCCTCTGCATCGTTTTTTGGTGACTTGGAACGTCGAACGGTTTTTCTAAACGCTAGCTTTGGTCATTCGAATTATTTTTCGAAGTTGAAATCCGGTTTGAAAGTTTAAAAGTTTGAAACCCGAGAAAATGGTTTGTTTGTGATTTGTGAGCAAATCAAAGACACTGACAATAGACACTGACTTTTGGATATTGTTTGAAGCCAGATTCAGCTGATGTTCCCCATTTTGAAATCTAAACATTTTATTCTATAAACTCCTACAAATTATAATATTAAAATGCATAAAATACAGTATTATAATTGAAACTAGATTTAAACCTATATCTTTGAAACGTCTAAACACAAATTTCCGATTCCAACAGCTAGCCTTTTACTGGAGCTTTCGAATCCCATCTTTAAACCATTTTTTAAATCCTTTTGAATATTGAAGTCAAATCGGAAACAATATTTAATCGTTCGGCAATAATCTGTTTGTGATTCACTTGGGGTGGGATTTTCCCTTCCCCAGAGGCAATTATCGGCTTTTAACTCGACAAGGAATCTATAGGTAAAAGTTAAGAAAAGAGAAAGAGAAAGATGAGATTTGAGAGCAAAGAGCAAATCTCTTTTCTTTTCAACTCTCTTTTGGATGTTCTTTTTGTGAGATATGTGAGGATTTGAGAAGAAGGGAAGTGACGGAATGAAGGACGAAGAAGAAAAGAGAGGTCGATACAGAAAGAGGGGATCTCTTCAACCATACACAGACATTGCCAATTATTGATCTATTTTCTGTCTTCTAGACACTCAATTAAACGTTTTGAACTATAAAATTCTGCCCATGCCTTTTCTGGGAGTAAAGCAAAATGAAGGAGGCCACTTTTATCCACTAAAGGAGGCCACGTGCCACTTTTATCCTTGTATCCTTATTATGTAATTTCAATGAAGAGGCTTCATATTCTGGTACTGATTTGGTGAATAATCCTTTGATTCTGGATACTTTTAGCATTAATATCTAAGGTACTATTCACTTTAACATTTCTACCACTTTAAAGTCCATGACAGAGCTGAGAAAGCTGATCTAATTCATCATAGCTGATCCGTTATACAACGAACTAGTTTTTGTATTATTGTTGTATTTGTATTATTGTATTTGATATTATTATTCTATTTACTTTATGCTTATCTAATTTTGTAGATTAATTTGAAAGCTTAAGCCTAAACATTTCTTATTTTAGTCAAATTTGATTCAAAATGATCTGTGAAAAGGTTAGGGACATAAACCAAACGTATCCGATAATGAGAATCGTTCTATGATTCTATGACTACAGGATTGCGTTACTGAATTACGGTAAAATTCATTTTGTTCTTTGTGAACTCTTTCTCAAATTTCCCCAACCCTTTTCATCGATTTTTCTTTGTTTTTTTTCTTTGCTTTGGTGTGGCAAGGACTTGTTTACCACATTCTGCGTTCTCTACTCGGATTTACTTCCCGATTTCTTGATTTCTTTTGAGATTTTATATTTTATAGGCTTCTCAAACTTTATATTAGAAGATTCAAAGTTTTATCGAAAAAATAAAAGTGTAATTGGCAGAAGTTCGAAAATGAATGTTTCAAGCTGTTGGTACTGCTTTTAAGGCTGTTGGTGCTGCTCAATTTTGTAAATTTTGAAGGTAAGCAATATTATAGCAATGACAATAGCAAAACAAAGACATCAAAGACTTTAAAAAAATTATTTTCCTTTTTTCTTAATCACTTTGCATCTTTACTATTGATTTCTAAGAAAAGAAGGAAGAATTGGGCAAGAATTGGGAAGAATAGGGCAAGAATTGGGAAGAATAGAGAAATCCCTTTCACCTGTCACTTAATCCTTCTATTTCCTTGTATTTCTTTTTTCCAACTGTTTCATTTTGCTTCTGAATTTTGTATGTTTTTCGAGCCGGTTATGCGAGAGAGGGACTTTCTCTCTGATACGGTACACTTTTTTTTGATATCACGTGACCCTCGGTTTCGGTTTTGGAGTGCACTTGTTTACCTTTTTTTCATAAAAGAAGTTTATTGACCAAATGAAAAACGAAGAAAATAGGATAGCGTATGAATTTTAAAAAATCCCTAGCTTTCGGACGCCAAGCATGAGCATCGAGCCTGAGCCTGAGCTAAAAGATAAAGATAAAGTCTAGCCAAGCCCATGACGGTCAAATCTAGTTGATAGACAAACAATATGACAATTGTGAGATTGTGGAATGTGCTTTGACTGTAATAACAACGAATTTGATCCAATTACAAGTTGTCTAGTAGAAAAGGAATCTCGAAAATGATCGAAAAGTGTATTCTGTGCTGTTTCGTGACATTTCTCCTTTCCCGACCTTTGCCCTCTCAAAAATTTCTTGTTTATTTTCTTGGAACACTCGTTTTCCACACACTTTTAAGTGTTTTTATAGATTTTTCAGACTTCCTTTTTGCCTTTTCAAATCTCTAACAAATTTCTGTGTTTGACGGGTCTTCAAAAGAGTTAATTGGAAAGTTTGAAAACACTGCTTAAATTTTGAAACCCAACCTTTCAGCCAAACTCAATTCAAGCCATACTGTGCTCTTTTTTTTGCAATTTTCCCCTCAGTTTCCTATTGTTGACCGGTTTCAATTTTACTTGAGCTTTTCAAAGTTCTGTGTCTGGCTAGAATCGAATCGCTTGATGGCTAGAATGGCTAGAATTGAATCGCTTGATGGCTAGAATGGCTAGAATGCCTAGAATGGCTAGAATCAAATCGCTTGATGGCTAGAATGGCTAGAATGGCTAGAATGGCTAGAATGGCAAGAATTGAATCGCTTGATGAAT